AACAATTTCCCTGAGGTTTACACCGAAGGGATCAATAAAGTTCTATTCTATTCTATTCTATTCTATTCTATTCTATTCTATTCTATTCTATTCTATTAAAAGGGTGCAAAAAAAAGTGGTCTGCATTTCTAGAACTTCGTAGTCAGATTAAATAATTGAAACGAGTTCCCCTTCTTTAATGCAGTCATGAGCACCCGTGTTTCATGTGGATGCACCTGTGCAATATTGCTGCAATGTCAAGTGATTCAAAATTGTATCACTTCTCAATATTTCCAGTGTTTCAAAGTTAATTCGTAGAGTGCTTCCTCTTCTGAACAATCAAAAACAAAAACTTTAGAAAGACTGCTTTGAAAATACAGGCTCAAAAGTAAAAACTCCATGCAACCATAGTAATTAGACCTGTGATTTCCAATTAGTCTAACTGCATGGTTAGAAAATGAGCTGTGAACACCAGAACATTCTCAATATTGGCCCAAATAGATAGATACTTTATTCATCCCCATGGGGAAATTCAGGATTCCATATGCAAAAGAATTACCAGAGAAGATAAACAAAATCTGATTCAGTGACTTCACAAAGATGGAAAAGGTTACATGAACATCAGTGACCACATAAAAACCACTAGGAACACAACTGCAGCAATAATGAGAACGTGTAGAATGAGTCATAGTACTAATAATAAGAGCAACGATTGGTAAGATAAAACAAGATAAGATAAACTTTATTGATCCATCAACAGGGAAATTTACATATTACACCATTGGGACATTTTCAAAGAGAAAGTTGGAGCAACACAACCTTTCCAGGAAACAGCAGCTGAAAAGAATAGAGTAAAGGATGGCTGAACATCTCTGCAAAAATTTGGTATCCTCAATGGTGAGGAGAATTATATCTGTCATTAAAAGTAAGAAAGAAGAAGAAAGAAGAAAAAAAAATAACGATTTGAATCTCAGTGGTGAAAACTTTTTTTTGTATTGAATTCCTACTACGGGGCCTGTATTTATTTATTTATTTATTTTTATTATAGTAAGTCTAATCTGTTATTTTAATATTTTTAATTAATGTTATATAAAAGCAAATATCTGACTTTACAACTTAGAAGTAATGCATTTTTTGAGAGGTAACAGAATTTTGAGGCATTTGACATTTAGGTGCTGTCAAGTGGTTTCTTAAAGAATGTGAATTAAAACAGTAGATAGTATTTGCACTTAAACATCCATGAAACAGCACACATAGGCCCAAACTCTCAGGGTTAAAGTTGGCATACAGTAAAGATTATGTCTATCTAATTTTCGTTTAACTCACATAGTTGCTGTGTGTAACTGCATTGCAGACTTTCCACAAAGTGAACTCAAATATGGATTTTCAAACAGTGCAGCTGAAAATGAATGGCTGCTTTTGAAATGATGGATTGTAATGTAAAGTTTATATAGCTCATTTGCAACTTAATGTCTTTAAAGATTAAATTTTACTCCCTTTGACAATCCAGCATTTACAGTATGGAAAGCTTCCATTTTCACATTAAGTTACGAATAAAACATGATACAATGGATTATTTTACTCAAAATTTTCTGTCACAATTTCTGCACAAAATTGTATCTTTATCCCATATGTCTTACACCTAGTTTTGTCAGGCAACATTCATCGTATTTTAACTCACCTTAGCGTCAGAACAAAGGTGGGCTTGTTTTATTACACGGCGTTGCTCGGAAGCACCGCCTCTATAACTGGATAACTGCAGTAACTAAACTCCGCTCACTCAGGAGACGCTGGGCAATCTCCTGTCGACACTGATATCCCTCCGCCAGTTAAAGATTATTATTTTCGTTATTTTTCAGAAAATAAAAATGTGATTGTTTCCTTATTTGAACTGAATGTATAACATGCATTTGTGAAAATTAATACAATAAAATACCAATAAATATCGTTTTTTTAAATCAAAAAATATTTCGAGGGCGGAGCGGATAGTACTACTTCTCGCGGTACGACCTCTTCCGGTCCTCTTTCCAGCTTCCCGTGCAACATGGTGAGTGTGTTTCACTGGCGGCCGTACGACGAAAATGCTAAAAACTGATATTTTGTTCGAATACTCAAACCCAATTAGTCTTTCTTAGGTGTTATAAAGACATAGTTCAATCACAGTGTCGACAATCGATATTCAGCGTCATTCAGAAACATAAAATATTGGTTTGGGCCTAATGCTAGCTGTTAGCAGGCTAGCCGTTTTGTGCATGTGTTCCGTGATATAGCAAACGATAACGCCGCTGTTACGGTGCGGTCAAACTGAACAGATGTGGATACAAACATGTGTATATAATGCGGTTATTTCTAATATGTTAGTTAAATAGCACGGAAAATACCAGACTACATAGGATTAAATATGTTTAGCAACTGTTGTTTGTCCAAGACACCGCCGACATCCCATGAATTTGACGATCCGCCGTGAAGTCAATCGCAGAGTAACAGATATTTCGTTATTTAACGAAACGTGGATGAATCTGCTTGTAACTCGTGAAAAACTTAAATCGTCGTGAGTAACACGAGACAAATGTGAGTCCATCTGCCAATACCCTTCAATCGGCATCCTCTGCAAATGTTGAAGAGATAGTACTGAAACAATAACCTGTGAATGTCAAATCTTAAAATTCAATACCCAAATAGAAATTTACTACTGCCTCTTTAGTAAACAAATGATTATTGTCAATAGACTGCAACAGTGGTTGCTTCGGCACCATTAATAACTCAACAGCGCTGGGTAGTGTTTGAAATTTTGATACTAGTAGCATATAATACTGAGATGTTGCAACAGACATCACAACCATCCTTTTCTTTATTCTTTATGCCCTTTTTACATTTGACAATCAAAGCAAAACGTACTAACTGTATGAGCCTGGAGCATTTTTGTGCAGTTTTTGCTCCTGTTTGATTTCAATATAGAATCCCACATATCTATTGGAGCATTACTGCAGTGTCTAGAATTAGATAGAATTTAATGTTTTCTGTGCGGTATGACAGGTATGCCAAAAATTATCAAGACAAAATGAAAGTTGCTGTATTTTTGATACCTGTTTTACCAAAAATTTAGGAAAACTGTGAGTCAATATGTACATTTCTTCAGGTTACCAATACTGGGGGGAAAAAATGGTGGCTCTACATACAATACATAACTTACTACTTAAGTGTTTTAATTTGTTTCTATACTTGTCTTCTTAGCAAATATACCTTGCAGGTCAGCTGAAAAGTTCTTGAATTTTCTGTTATGTGACTGGTGGTTGCAACTGGGTCTTGGGGTACAGAGAATTGTTGCTCAGTCTTAAATTGGAAAATCTAAAATTGGATAAGTCTTCAGCAACCTTTAGCTCAGGGGTGGGCAGTCCTGGTCCTCGAGGGCCACGGTGCTGCATGTTTTAGATGTTTCTCTCTTCCAACACACCTGATTCAAATGATCAGCTCATCATCATCAAGCTCTGCAGAAGCCTGATAACGATCCTGATCATTTGAATCAGGTGTGTTGGAAGAGAGAAACATATAAAACATGAAGGATTGCGGCCCTCGAGGACCAGGATTGCCCACCCCTGCTTTAGCTGCTTGGTACTTTTTGATGGTCAGTCCTGCTGACACAACTGTTGCTTAAAAAGTGGTACGAATGTACAGCACCAACCCTAGTTTTGTCACTCAAATGTTGCTTGTTCTAACTGTGGCCTGTTTTGCAGACCAAGAAGAGGAGGAATAACGGTCGTGCCAAGAAGGGCCGTGGGCATGTGCAGCCCATCCGCTGCACCAACTGCGCCCGTTGTGTCCCAAAGGACAAGGCCATCAAGAAGTTTGTCATCAGGAACATTGTGGAGGCGGCAGCCGTGAGAGACATCTCAGAGGCTAGCGTCTTCGACTGTAAGTGTATATTCTTTATACCATGTACATCATCACAAAGCTCAGTCTTTGCATTTTAATGCTGATGGCTTGTACTCATGTTTTCCCTTCTCCACTCTGCAGCATATGTTCTGCCCAAGCTCTACGTGAAGCTGCACTACTGTGTCAGCTGTGCCATCCACAGCAAAGTGGTGAGAAACCGCTCCTGTGAGGCCAGGAAAGACCGCACCCCACCACCCAGATTCAGGCCCACTGTAAGTAGCATCCCAAAAACACTGTTTGCTGCCAAAGCTGTTCAGTGTAGTTCTATAAAACCAATGGCACCGTATCGATACAGCACCTTCTTTCTATAGTGGATCATCTGAATAGTCATAGCAGAAACACACAGGTGCAGCTAATTTCAAAGTTGAGATGAAATACCAGAGCCCTGGATACATCTGTCTAGTAAATGTAAATACCTGTGAAGGACACCTGTATTAATATAAAAATGTTCTTTCTCTCACAGGCTGGTGCACCAAGAGCTCCCCCGAAGCCCATGTAAAGCAGAATTTGAAGATGCTGTACACGTGAAAAATAAACTGAAAAGTTGTTACAAAAACATGAATGTGTGACGCTCATTCACTAATCTTGTGCTGTGTACTTGTAGAAAAGACAAGCAGGTCAAGTATTTTATTTGGAATAGACTTTCTTACAGTACAAAACTTACAGTAGTTTAAGATCGAATTACGCAAATGCATAATTACATACATTTAAAAAGGCTCTGCAGTTATTTAAAGCGATATCAGACCATTTAGAGAGTGGGGGGAACTAAAGAGAGAAACTGAGGGGAACAAATAGTGCAACGAGGAAACCTTTAAAACACAAAATACCACAAAGCTAGAGTTAGTTTACTTTCTGAAGTAAAGTCTTGAATTGGAAACAGTTTATTTGGTTGTCCTTAAGACTAGAACAGAAAGGTGTTGGTTGAGGAGCAAACAGCGTCAGTACCACATGCATCAGGTTCAGAAGCACATTACTATCCAGTGTAGCACACACAAATAGAGATGACAAATTTTTTTTCATCTATAATGCAGAACATGAGATTCTGCAAAAGAGCCAATTCATTGGACTGGAGAGCCAAGCCTTTTTCTTTTTACTGTTTTTGTACAATATTTCAAGCAAGATCAACAAAATGGCTGAGGATTACATCGACTTTTACACATTTTGTCTCTGGTATTTTCTTTGGCTCCTGGTAGCATTACCAAAAATCATTTTCTTCTCTTTTTTTATGGATTTTTGTCAATGAATTGTAAGAAATGAAAAGCTGGTTCTGGCCAGGGTTAGTGATGAATGGTGGTGTCAGGGTACACTCAAACATTTAACAAAAAATATGAGCCATTATAATTTGCACCACCACTGTGTTCTTTTTTTGTTTGTTTTGTTGTTTTGTTTTTTTTAAAGAGTTTCAACAATTTAGAGAGGAAATGCATAAAAGACCTCCAGCCAAAGGCACAACAGCAAAATCTACTTCACACAAATCACACCAACTGGGGAAGAGTCACACCTGGGCCTAAATCAGAATATACACAGTGAAGAAGGGTTTAAGATGGAATTCATTGGTCAAAGCATTTTCTTCCCCCTATGCAAACTGACAATTTCACTGATTTGCAATAACTACTTTGGTGTTATGTTTTTAGATTAGACTGATACAAGTAAATTTTAGGATTTTGTGAGAATTTACAAACCAACCTCTGTCGCAAAGTGATCTAACAGTCCATTTTCATATTAAGGCAAGATCATTTTGATTATTAAAGTAACTTTAGAAGAAATAAAGTTAATCACATATTTCGATTTGTGTTACCACAGTGGTGACAAAATCACCGTAGTGCATTGTGGCTACAAGTGATTCCTTCTCTCTTGAATCTGGCACAGCAACGTGCACCAAAGCCAACTATGTGACAAACAAATGCGGACTTCACTTGGGAACTTGACAATTCTTCCTTTCTCAACTGAAGCGAGGTAAACATTTACATTATCTATTTCAAAAGGTCTTCTGCAAAACTAAGTGTAGATAAGAACATTGTAACACCTACAAGGCTTTAATGACAGCAATGAAAGGAAATTCTTACCTTGCAGCTTCTTCCTAATTTATATTGTATATACAAATATATTGATTTCCTTTAACTAATTTTTCATTTTGCCACTACAATAGGGAAAAGTGCTTAACAGTAAGAAATAGTGGTTCTTTGGCTCAGCCATGGGGGGATTTTTTGGTGCTATACAGAACCACGCTCATGCGGATCTAAAAATAGTATGAAAACCAAGTACTACTTTTTTTTAAATTCCTCTTCGTGAAGACAATATTTCCGAGCCTCTGCACATCTAAACAACTAGTTAAAATCTGAGAATCCATACAAGACTGAGTTCAGTATATAACAAAACCAAAGAAATGTTCACCAACACAATTTTGACCTTAAATATTCATTTCGAGCCCTGAATGGTTGAGCGGTTTCAAATTAGTCTAATGAAAATAAATGCTTCTTGGAGCTGAAAAAAACAACAACTCACCTATTACGGTCAAAATAGCAATTATGGTAAACAAAGGGGAAATATTAGTTCATAAGCCTTTGTCTGCACTACACAAAAAATAATGGGCTCAAGTCAGCTGATGATTTTGACTGTTTTTGTAACCTTTTTGATTTTCAGTACATTTTTGACAAGTTTGTTTTAAATTTATCCTTGTTTCTGTTAATATACAGTACATGAAAAATGGCATCCACAAATGTCCTGCTAAATTGAGTATGAATTTTTGTGCCCCGGTCTGTGAGCTAGACTTTAATTTTCAAAACAGACTTCCGGACATTAAACTGTTTGTGCTTAAGCTGTGTGAAATCAAATACTCATAAGAAGTGACTACCACTATATCTGTTGTTTTAACAAGTAAATAATTAGACAGAATCAAAAGCTGACTGTGTTGTTTGAACCGACACATTTCTCTGGACATTTGATTTCTGCACAAATGGCCAAGACTAGATCATCATTAATTATAGATCACAACCAACAAAACAGACATGAAAAAAAATTCTTGTCATTCTTTGAGGAACTAAAATGTCTTTAAAGAAAAAAAAAAAAATGCAAATCAAAGTTTTGGATTTACACTGTGAGGACGGTAGTGGACTGCCACTCCACACTGCACTCATGTCATAGCAGCATGTGTTCAAATGAAAGGTACATTTCGTCTTTGATTAAGCATAGGAATTGGATCTTTGTCAACAAAATGAATGCAAATCAGCCCCATTTTTGTTGAGTATGATAAACAGCTACTGTAAAGCTACAGGCCAAAGACTTTACAGTGTCTGGAAAACAACTTGATTACTTACATTATTTTCTAACTCATGATCTCGAGCGTCACCCACAAAGATCTGTTTGTAAGACATGACTGCTGGTAGCTCATGTCTTTCAATCTGGTCAACAAGGTGAAGAAAGGCACAATACAATAACGTAACAAAATCATGTTCAGAAATAGCATAAATAGGTTAGTTACTTATTAGGGTTGGTTTGCTGTTTGATGTAATTATGAAAGGGAAAATATTAACAACGTAACTTCTTCAGTAATCTCTAAAATTGTGGCAGTGATACTTGAACCCCTTTCCTAGTGAGAAGAACATAACACCAGTTGTTCTCACGTTTTGAGAGAAATGTGCAGGTCATTAATGAATTCTATAAAATAGTTTAATATAATCATAGTATTCTGGCAGTTATCAGTGCAACAAAAGCAGTCGTAGAAAAGAAAAAAAATAATTAACATACCGCCCCACACGGCATTCACACAAATAAAGGCCTTCATTTTCCACCTTACTTATTCGAGTTACTTCCAAAAAACACAGCTTCTCAAAGGCTTTCTCTCTCTCTCTCTCTCACATACACACACACACACATACACGCACACACGCGCACACACACACACACAAAGATCTGTTCATTCCTCCCCTGTTAAAAACCAAAGTGCATTTCTAATTCACGGACAGCCCCTCAAACTTCAAAATCTAATTGACGAGGACCTGGTTTTTAGAGTTTGGTCTGCACTTTACTTTGAATTATAAAAAGCAATCTATTGTACAGAATCAACCCCAAGTTGGAAAAGAAAAAAACGAACAAAAGGTTTGTCAGCAAATCATTTCATTTCATTGTAAAAGGTGCTTTTAGAACAAGGCATAAAAATCTGTACAGATTCCACTGTAGACAAGCCTATAAACTTAGCTTTTTTTAAAATATCATTTCTGTTAAAGTGCACAAGAGGGGAAGGTTTTGAGGTTATGGACAATAGTCAGATTTGTTTTCTACAATTTGTGCATCAGGTCTGAATCCTGAATTTTGGAGCAAGGCACGTCTGCGGATGAAAAAGTGCATTGGCTCTTCATCTACTTTAGAACACATTTAATCAAAAATGCATTTTAAATAGATTTGTTGTTCAAAGTGCATTGAAAGCAATAAGGACCACTATTCGAATTTTAGAAACATATAAATGAGCTTTTCATTAATGATCGTACATGCCAACTGTGCCAGCGCCTGTTTGAAATATTCAGTTTCATTCCATCAGTGACCCCTTTAGCATATGTGCAGACCAAACTCAGCCAAGTCCTCGTCTTAGAGTGAGAAAAGCTCTAGGTGAAGCGGGTTGTCCATCATTTATCCTCAGTCAAGGACGTGCTCTCCACGGACAATGTGCGAAGAAAACTCATAACGGTCCTGGCTGCGATGGCCACAGATGTTGCACTCAAAAGGCTGGCGAAAACCATGGCAGCCCATGTGGATGGTAAACATGACGTGGTCTAAGAAAAGCACACGGCAGTGCTCACAACGGAAAGAACGCACAGCTCGTCCCTCCCCGTCTACAACCCGAAAAGCCTCCCTGGACGTGGAGGAAGGCGCTGTAGGTGAGCTTGGGGTTGGAGCGTGTGCAGGAGCTGGGTGGGCTGAGTGGCCTCCATCCTCTCTCTCCAACTCCCGGTCTTTGGCGTGGCTGGGGCTGCGTCTGTCACGACTCCTGTGGTGTGCAATGGGAGGATGTGCTGCATGATGGTTGTTTGAGTGGAGGAGATGATGGCCGTTGTTACTGTGCAAGGTCGCAGTAGGAGCGGTGCTGTTGCACGGCTCATCTGGCATGCTTTCTGTGTCCGTAGAGTCCTGGCAACCATTGCTAGGAGAGGGCGCATGACTTCGACCAGCAGGCAGGTCTTCGTGACCCTCGGCTGCCTCCCGTCCCCCCACACCCACAGCCCCCAGCCCAGCTCCTGTCCCTGTGCAATCCAATCTGGGGCCTAGACCAACGGGAGCATGAGAGGAGCTGTGGATCGGTCTGAGTTCTGACAAACATGAGGGGTGAGTGGTGGAGTGGTGTAGGGGTCTCAGGGTGTCTGATACCCCTCCTCCGTTACCTGCTACGCCCGTGTATTCTCCTCCCAGACTGGTAAAGTGTGGGGCTTTGAGGTCCCCTGCGTGCATGTCTCCGTCTTTATCCAAACCAGCAGTGAGCTCATAAGGTGCATCTGCAAGGTTGAGGCGTATGTGCTTCTGCCCTGCAACACAGAGAGACAAAATTTTATGATATTGTACAATGCAGGACTGTGAAAGATGTCACAGCAGCATATTCCTAAAAAATACATTGATAATTGAAAAGTTCATGAAGATAAATGAACACACTGAAATTTTTTTTGGGATTCATTCTGAATATGATCATCACGTGTTACTGAATTTACAAAAGAATCAAGTTTTAGTTTTTGTCAGTTTAATGACCAGACTAAATGGAGTCTAGTCCTGCATTTATGGGTGAGACAGAACTGTTCAAACCAACTAACTGCTGACAAACATTGTAAAAATCATAGGACTTGGATATATAAAATCCTAAATGCTCGGGGTCACAAAATTAGGACTGAAAGACCTGTCTTAATGCACGTGGAATCCTATTTTAAGCAACGAATACTGCTTTGTTTCCTCAAACCGTCCACACTGAGACCAAATGCTCACCTACAAATTTTTGTGGTGTGGATCTCTTGCGTTTGGTGATGCTGTTGGCGAGCCGATCGATAAATGTCATCTTGTCTGAGGAGGGCTGCAGTAGAGAGTCTGGTATATACTCTAACTCTCTCATCTCCTCTCCTGCACAGAGTACAAACAAACTGTAATGTTATTTTGGGGTTTCCTTATTACCCAGACAGATTTTTTTCCGAAATTCTGGTATGAACCTAGACCACCATAGGGAAATATAAGTGATTATGAGTGGAGGATTTTGTGCTTCACCTTGTTAGGAAGGTACACTGCATTTCTACGCTAGATGCTACTACAATCCCTTCTGGAACCTGATATTGATAAAGCACCATATTGTGAATTAAATAACTGTCTTCTATGAAAAGTGTTGTTTATTTCTGACAAGTCATCCCCATGAATGTCACAAAACACATACCTGAATTCTGCACACTGCTTGGCTGCTGTGACTCCAGGCTTTGTAAGTAACTGTGGCAGCGCTCGCGGTGCTCCTCCAGGGTGCTCTGCTGCTTGTAACTACGGCCACAATAACTGCACTTATACGGCTTCCCTACAGTTGGAGAGGACACTGGAGACAAAGTGGGGAAATTGCATTATTATTGTCATTGTACACCATTATTTTTATAAAATGCACTCAACAGGCTTGCGTCTGTCCTACCTGCATGAGTGCGAAGGTGGCCAGTAAGTGCATCTCGTCTTCGACAGGCATAGCTGCAGAAGGGACATTTAAAGGGCTTCTCCCCCGAGTGCAGCTTGATGTGGCGGAGCAAGTTACCCTTTTGTGTGAAAGAGGCGCCACACTGATTACACTGAAATGGTCGCTCACCTGTCAAAAGATCAAACCAGTCAACCCAACGACTCCAACTACATCAGTAGTGGATGTCTAGTCACAACCACACCTGTCTTGATAAATTGCAAGTACACCAGAGCATTTAAAATGTTAACCATCACCACAGCTGCTTTTTTTGTACCATTCAGCTTGATTATTAGCAGAGTGCAAACATGTTTACACATGCAACGCTCTGCATAACTAGTAATTTTTCAAAACATGTTTTCTTCCATATCTGTAACTATGTGTCAATACAAGGTCAAGTCTTTGTATGTCGATAGTAGACAGTACATCAAATGTCTGCAAATAAAATGTATTTGAGACATAAGTCAAATAATTTTCTGTATTGAATCTAATGTACCAAACCTGTTGACCAACAGACCTTAGACCTTCTCACAAAAAAATCTTTATTTGAACTAAACTGATTGGTCACCTGTGTGGCTGCGTTTGTGCACCATGAGAACATTAGGCCCGATGCAGATCATTCCGCAGATGTCACACTTGAGCTTTCCGTTTGGCAGTCTAGTGGCTCCAGATGGCATGGTTTCAGGATTGGTGAGCTCCCTGTAGCCTCCCACAGCCTCAGATCCCTGTTCCTGACCACCCTCTTCTACCCGCTCCCCTCTTTCATCCTCAGTGCTACGACCTGGGTCTTCATCACTGTACAGCTCCACTTTAATGGAGTTGGCTGCAGAGGTGCAAGAGCAAAAATGACGGTCTTAAATGTAATAATCTATCAACCAGAGCGCTGCCAGACGAATAAGAACGAGACAACAGAGTGGGAATGGGTTTACATGTCATTACTTAAGTGAGCAGGGCTGCCCCAGTAACTTAATCAAATTCATTAGGGGGAAAAAAAATCACACTATTAAATGCAACCTGTGCAATTTTACTCATAAAAAAGTTATAAAATTGTTTCACGCTTTTGAAAATGTTTCACATATCACATTAAAAGCCATGGGTAGTTTTATAAAACAATATATTAGGATCTATTAAAGATTTTCCACTGACCACTGAGGGAGCGACTAGGAGAATTCTCTTTGCTATTTGGGGTGCTCACTGTTGGACCTCCAAGGGCCCCAGAAAACTCTCTTTCCATTGAAGAGTCTCCACTAGCTGTAACCAAAAAACAAACAAACACAAAAACAAGAAATCTCAGTTGGACGAGAACACAACCTTGGATGGCAAATATATTTGTGATTAAATAAACCAGAGTTCTACCTGATATGTAAGATCGGCCATTGCAGTCATCAACATCCATACTAGTTCTTGCTGAATACTGAAATGACATTCATGTCACAAGTGAATGCTCTAGCACACTGTAACTCACTGCACTGATTCACTCATAACTACACATAATCACGTTTACAACCTATATTGCTGTAACAGGATGGCATACAGTATTGCAGGTAGAGGTCCAATTTCACATTACAAAATCCAGGATGTGTGTCAAGTTTAACTGGTATTGCTTAATAAGTAACTCGCAAATTCGATTACCGCAGATGCTTTCGATTATAACTAACACGAAACGCTACATGAACATTTGCTAACTATAACGTACTACTGCTAACTTGTTGGTGCGGTGCAAGCAAGGAAGGCCGTACAATCTGGACTGCTTTCACATTTTCGTATAACATTAGCTTCCGGCTCAAACGATAATGTGCTAAAGATCGGGTGATGTGGATTAAGGCATCGTAGTAGAAATGATTAACTAGCGTCTAAGTTAGCGGTTACTCTACTCTTACCAGCCACACACCAGACTCAGTAACAATTAGGGAGATCCATAACAACACTGCTAAAGTAACTTAAAGTGAAGGCGATATAACGTCAGGCTCACTTAAGGCAAATTAACGTGAAATTCAGATCGTAACAGAGAGATATAGCGCTGCCATCGTTTACATAACGGTGGCGTTGAGGTAATCTAAGTTTAGGGCCTTGGTGGCTAACGTTAGCTTGCCGCATGTGATAGAAATTACCACTGCCCAAGTTAGCTAAACTCAACACTATAAACAGTCTGTCATCATCGACAGCTTGCTAAAAGGAATGGACAACGCTACAACTAAGTAGTATGTGCAGCGACGAAAGTAGACAACGATGACTTGTGACATTAATTAACTGACTATCTCTAAATTGGACATTCAAGTCTCCTCGACGTCGTGTTTAAGGCTAGCATAACAAACCAACATTAGCCTGAAGTGTCTTAGCTAGCTAGCCCAACAGCCAATGTTTCCTAAACGGTTGCTATGGCACCCACCGCCACCCAAAATGCTACGGCTAGCCAACTAGTGGTTAGCCTGCTAGCTCGCTCTCCTCGAAGCCTTCAAGCTGACTGTTGTTATGCACAACACAGCGGAGGCGGACAACGACAAGTGCTTTTAAAGCAGTCCGTTTCTCTAGTACCTGTTGTCTTACCTGTCCCTGTCAGGGCCGCTCCAGTGAGGTTATTCTGTATTTTCATCTGCCTGTTTATGACAGCAGCATCTCCCGGCAGGGTTTACCTCCAGCGCCAAACTGCTTCCGGGTCACGTCCCGAACGTAGCTGCTCATCAACCACCAGCAGACATTTAAAAATGATCAGTTCTACAAAATACCCATAAATAATAAATTCGCCACACACATGAACACAAAGAACGGGAATTTTTTGACTGAGGTTATTTTTGTGCACTGCTTAACAGTCTGTGTATATAGATCTAGCTGTAGTTCAAATCTTCAGATCTATCCATAAAATAGACCTGCTGTTTTTACGATACGTTGTATATGTCTATCATGGAGGAGACGCCGTATTTATACTGAGCTCAGAGAATATTGTCCCAAGTCAAACTTAATTTTATCGAGGTGTCTGGTTTCAAGCATATGTGATTGAAAACAAAACACTGAGAGAGAGAAGAGCAGTGAAGACCAAGATAGAGGCTTCAAATGTGTGAGATTATGAGAATAATTATTTCCCCCATAATTATAATTTCAGTTGAACAGGTAGAAAAGGAACCAGGACACTCCTATAGAAAACTGTAGTTGTGGCATGTTTGATGCCAAACCCATAAGTTTTAAATAAAAACTGAACTGTTCCACACAGCTTTCTATTTCTATTTTATGTGAAAAAGATTTAGTAATTTAAGCCTTTATTTACCTGAAGTGCTCAATGCTTAAAGAGATTTCAAGGGGTGATACATAGCCTATAAACGTGAGGTTTTAGTTTACTTACATTTCATTCATTTCATGTTCACACATCAGGAGACTGGAACACTGTAGCTCTTTGTTTTTCCCAAGTAAGTGTACCAATACACCGTACGCATCCACGCATATCCGTCATCCGGGTAGATGGTAGTACAGATAGGAACGATCTACAATGAGTTACTGAACTTCCTACACACTAATTCCAATAGCAGATCTTCCCAGATGGTTTATTTCCTGGATGGGTGGTGGAATACTATGCTCATTTCCATTTTATATGCCTTCATACCTGTACTACACTACATTTAAAAAGGAAAAAATATACATTTTAAGCCACTTTATTTGACAGCTTTATATTATAATTATATACTGCCTCTTACGTTTAGTATATGGAAGAATTAAAAAAAAAAAAAAAATCACAGAAAAAAAACAAACAATAGTAGCATTTCGTAAAAAAAAAAAAAGTATTCAAAGGGTTTAAATGGGAAAAAAATGGATACATTTCTGGTAGTTATGAAGAGGACTGATGTTGCTTAAAAAAATCTTACTCAGTGAAAGTGAAAAATTTATATTATTTTGGTTGTATTTTTGACAAAATCTGAAAATGCATTAAAAATAATGTAGAACATTTGAAGGTGGAATATTTTACATTTGACTACACTTTATTTGACAACTGTTTGAGATATAACAGTGAGCCTATAAAATACATCGATTTCTAAATATTAAAGGTTATGCCAAGTTATGTTTCAGCTGTCTGTGAAGTGTTGCACTTCCACCAAATAGTGATGTTTCATCGTAGCTTCTGAGATACTTTTAATTACGTGTGTTTACATAAATGTCTCAGCTACTTTTATTTAGCAAAGAATCTGAATACTTCTCTAGCCATTGTCTGGGGTAAAAATCCATTCAGATGAGGTTGTGATCGCACGTGTCTTTGTTTTTGTCACTTCACCTGTGTGAAAAGCTGCGTCCTATTTGTATAGACTGAAACCGTGGAAATGCACACTTGTTGCTTTGTAGGATTTCAGATTTTCGCCGGGGATTGTGGCCTGAAAGTCAATCTGGAAAAGTCTGAAAAGGACGGTGGTCAGGAACATGCTGGGCCGTTCAAAGAGTGACCTCTACTGTACAGACTGGCCTGAATGCTCGTCCATGTCAGGTCTGACGCACTGGCTGGTTTTACGACGGTGTGCTTACACAATGACAGTTTCCGTCAGTTTGACTTGCGGATCGTGACCGCGTTGAACAAGCTGTTTCTTTCGTTACCAATTACAACTCAAACGTCATTTTCATCATTTCAGATTATCTATCGATATCGACGACTATATCAGATACGGAAACAGCCAGTATTTGTTTTTTTTTTTTAGATAAGTACAAGCTGTGTTTGCAGTAGTGAAACTCGGAGTTTCCAGCTCGAGGCCCAGCGGAGAGCTCGAGCGGCGGCGGCTCCGAAAAGTTTGTTGTTGTCACGTGACGCGAGACGAATGTGGCGATAAAAGTTTGTGTAGATAGTAAAAGTAGGTGGCGTACTTCTTTATCCAAACACACTCAACACCGTTTTCACCGCGATGCCTCAACCAAAGTACCGAAAGATCGCCGTTATAGGTTACCGGTCCGTAGGTGAGTACAACGTACGAGCTCGTGCACAGCTAATGTTGGTTGAGCTAGCAGGCTAACTGGCTAACGTCCTGGCTTTGTTTTCCTTCGGAGCGACAACAGCAACGCTAGCTCACCTTTGTTCACATTACGTTGTGTTATATTTGTTTGCTGCGCAGTTTACTAATAAACCATACTAAATTCAACCGTACCTTTCCATAAGTTGTAGCCATATGGTACCAAATGTACCATGAGGGTGAAAATAAAGTTAGCTCAGCCGGTGGTACACTGGTAGAGTGCCAAGTGATGTTTGCCACGAAACCTTACGTCTAACATGTTGATCACAACAGGTATAATAATATCCAAAATATAAAGAAAAAGACCTACAACTGTATTTGATATATTATAAAGCCACAAACAAACTGTTGTTTATATTCTAAATTCTTCTTGTGTGGCCGGTGTTGCTCCAGTTCTCGTGAGTCATCAAACTTTGTGGCCCTACTGGGATTATCATTGTGTTTGCCGTTTACGTATCTTGCTTAAAGACACTTTAAAGTGTCTTTTTAAAAAATATATCCTTCTTTCTAACATTTCACAACAGGTTCACTATATTTTCAAATGTCCGAAATGAAAAGTGGTTTTGGGGTCTTTTTTTTTTGATTCAGCACCTGGATAAGAAATGTGTGTGTGTGTGTGTGTTTTTAAACACTGACTACTTTTGAATAGCTCCTTTTGTTTGGTCTCTCCAACTGTTTTTTCGTTTTTTTTCTTCATATAATTTAGTCTCATAAACATCCTTTAAATGTCTCCACAGAATTTGGATAAGGTAGTAAAGTTTGATAACTGTAAGTTAAAAGCAAAACAAACATTGTAGGACTGCACCATATTGGGAAATGCTAACATAGCAAAAAGTTGTTTTTCTGCTGTGGATCTTGCAAAAATGAAACCATACAGCAGTTTGAACAACTTAACAGATGTATTTGGAAACAATTTGTCAAAATGTTATTTTTGGGGAGATTTTGTAGGTTGAAAGTATATATATATATATATATATATATATATATATATATATGTATTTTAAATTATCAGAAAGATTTGTGATGAATTTAATAGGTGACAACTAATAGGTCAATAGAATTGATAATAAAAGATCTGGTTTTGCGTTTGTCATACAGAGCTTTTTGGTGCTGATTAAACTAGTCAAACAAATGAATTATGTTGCTTCCTGTAATTGAAACACCTCGCAGTAATCGAGTACCGGTTTTGGTTGGCATGTTCCTTTCTATAGCCAAAATTATTTTCATACAACTGATGTTGCATTACTTTTTTGCAATCAAATCCTCCATTTTAATGTTCCTCACTCAGTTTGCTTTGGAAACACACTCCAACGAACTCAGTGTCCTGTGAATTAAGCTTCAGTAAATGTGTAATTTATGTTCTATCAGACAAACGCCTCTTTTAGATTACTCATGGAAAATGAGAACTGTGAGTTTTCTTTTGAATCAAGCAGCAAACAAAGTAGTGACATGATGTATTTGAGTTATTTTGCCTTGCTAAATATTGCACTCTTTGCCATGTGTCTACTGTGTATGCAAACATCAGGATGTCGATGATGAACCTGAAGTTGAAACTTCTCACTAATATGCACAGTTTTAGTAATTTTAGCTGCAGTAGAATAAAGTTCGTAGACCTTAACTGTCAGTCAATATCCTTTGCTGTTGCATCACAGAATCAGACAGATTTTAGTACACCAAAATGACAGCTTTCAAAATATGTGACCTTATCCAAATACCACAGGGGCACCATCTTTTGTAACAGCTATCAAAATAAGTGATGAAGTATTAAAAAAAACATTTACTGTGGCAATACTGCTGACATTCCTGATCTGGTCCCAGAATTTTGTGTAATACTTGTGACCAATAATGCAATGTTTAGAATGTTTTCGAAGTTTTCATGTAGAGGATTAAAGTAATCGACAAGAAGGAGACTGTTTGAATGATACTTTAGAGACTTTAGAGGAAAAAACTGTGTTATGTTTTTTTCTCCTTGCACAGGAAAGTCATCTCTTACAATACAGTTTGTGGAAGGACAATTTGTTGACTCCTATGATCCCACCATCGAAAACAGTAAGTGTCATCCGTTAATTGTTTGGAAGGCATTGCAGCAAAGAAAATCATACTGAATTTAGCTAAATGAAAAGTTTTGTAACTAATCCATCATTCTCCCCAGCCTTTAACAAAATGGTCAGCGTGAATGGCCAAGACTTCAATCTTCAGCTAGTTGATACAGCTGGACAAGTAAGGAGTCACTTTGCTTCTATAACTGATACACAAGCCCTAGCTCTCTCTTTGGTTTCAATCAATGCTTTTCTTCTATTAAATTTCCCGTTTTTAACTTTTGACTTTCATGTGTTATATTTGAACGTTTCTGAGATTGCAATACCTCTTCTCTGTCTTTAGGATGAGTACTCAATTTTCTCACAGTCCCACTCAGTGGACATCCATGGCTATGTCCTTGTGTATTCAGTGACTTCCATGAAAAGGTGAGTAGATGGTTGTGTTCCTATCTGTGCAAATAAGGCATATACAATCAAAAGTCATAGAGTACTCTCTACTACAAAAACAAAGCTCTGTGTTTCCTAAAAATGTTTTTTTTTAGTATATTTAGATTTGGCCATTTAGAGAAGTTGGCAAAACATTAATCATAAATCACAAAAGTGCAATTCAATCGATTATAATAACACTACTAGGTTTATAATGTGCCACTTTCTAACTTTATTAAAGAGACATTAACTTAGCTCCTCTCCACTGTAATTTTCAATCCTGTAGTTTTTTATTCAGCTGTACCAGGTGCCTGCTTGCTCATTGTTTTAATCAAATGTTAAAAGTATATATTTTTTTGAAATAACAGTGTATTATAGGAAGTTAGTGGTTACGGGCTGCTGTCAGATCGGTGCTTTAAATTGCTTTGATGTCTGTGTTTGCTCAGTTTTGAAGTTGTGCAGGTTCTACATGACAAGCTGCTAGACATGGTTGGCAAGATTCAGTAAGTTTAGTTGGTTCTTTGAATTTCACTGTTTCCAAAATGTGTTTTCCTCCTGTGTCCAAAGTGTATCTAACCTGGATATTTTCTTTTTAGGGTTCCAATTGTTCTCGTAGGGAACAAAAAAGATCTCCACATGGAAAGGTAATCAAGATGATTTGAAGTCCATAGAATGTAAAGTACCTAATTTGTGTTGTTACTACCTGATAAAACTGACACTGATACATGTCAACAGTTAGTATAATTCAACAATATTTAACATTTAATGGCAAATGCAGCCCTTTTTTAATTTAGCAGTTTAAGGATAAGTTTTGTGTTTCCTCGTGTCCTGTGAAATACACAAAACCAGCAATAAATTGAATTCACTGACACATACTGTCTATGTAATCAAAGCTTCAGAATACTTATTTTTCTGCATTATAGACCTCCAAAGTCTCTACAAAACTACTAAAAACATCAAAAGACATGTCATTGTACTGGGTTACACATTTACATTTACAGTTTATAGACTTGCCAGCTTTGTGTTTTTAAACCAAAGCACCACATTCTTTTCTCTCTGTTCTCAGATGGTCCTTAAAAACAGTGTTTTGGGAGAGTGTGTGCAGTGCACGTCATATAAAAGCAGTTCTTTTTTCATCAGGTATCCATTTTATTTTTTTTCCAGGGTTATCAAGCCAGAGGAGGGAAAAAAACTTGCTGATTCCTGGGGTGCTGCGTTCATGGAGTCCTCAGCCAAGGAGAATGAGGTAATGACGGTGTCTCTTGGAATACTAATTATGGACACCAACTCATCGTTGCAGTTCACAAATTGTTTCTGGCACAGAATCACACTCTGATGACAATATTCTTACAATGCAGACTGCTGTGGAGGTTTTCAAGCGGATCATTTTGGAGATGGAGAGAGCTGATGGAAATGCACCCCCAGAGGAGAAGAAGTGTGCTGTGATGTAAACGTATATCCAGGACATCAGTAAGCTATTTACTGAAGACAAGAGGCACAACTTCACCAGCTTGCCAATCGTGACCTCACCAACACCAAGACACTGCAGTGGAACCTTTCTGCTCCATTGTGATACCAGATTGAATTACATAGCAAAGCAACTGCTCAGACAGTTGATAAACTATCTCACTAATTGTCACCACAGGGAGAAGTTTCTAAGAGCAGAATAAATCTCTGCTCTAAGCAAAGAAGCACCTTCAGTGAACACTTTCTTTAAACATTGAAATGTAATCCATGGCTGGGCATAATCTTGATTTTTGAGTTCAACCAAATGCTCAGAAAACAAAACATGATTGCCAAAGTTTTTGGTCCAAATTGATTGCATTATTTCTTTCTATTACTCGAGACATCATTGGCTCATGTCTCGTAACTCTTTGAGTAGTTGAGTTATTACACAGTGAGGGCTGGTTAATAACCTTTCTAAGGACTGGTGTATTCTTTCGGCAGGTCTTTTTCCCAGTGATGCAGTCATAGTCCACATTGCTTTAAATGTGGTGTTAAAACTGTCACTATTTCTCACAAATGGTGGATTTCCTTGAACACTCTGTGATGAGGTTTTACATTAAAAAAAAATCTCACTGTGCCTTCACAGTTCTCACTGTAATTTTTCTATCAACTCATCTTCAGGTACCTTTCACCAATGAACTATGGAGCTGTGTCTTCATGATGGAGGAATCTGTTATTGTATATTTAACAACTTCCGTTTTAAGCTCTCCTGCTAAGCAGATAGGCCTCCATTGTGTCTACGATTTAATTTTTCCTTATTAACTGTAATAAAGATGTTATCTTATGGGCAACACTCAGAAAAATTTAGTGTAGATTGGAATAGGTCCTTGCTATTACCGGTTATGGCCTTTTTATACAATATAAATAGAATCATAGAAATTGGTTTGGTACTGTTGGTTATATCTTGAGTGATGCAAGTTTGCGCTCCCTTCCATATCCTAAGTAGAGTACATGCATATATCTGCATTATAAATATCAATATTGTTGAGTTTCAATTTTTAAATCACATTTTAACATTACAGAAGACTATTTAAGTGGCTCAAGGCCACAGAATTAGCATAGTCATTTTTGAACTCATGGTTTTGACTTGATGGCTCTTGCAGGCTTGATGGAACAAAGCCAGAATGGCATACAGCCCATTTAAGTCATCCAGTGGACTTGCATGGTCATTGTTAGACCCTTAATGATATATTTTTCATAGATGTAGCCTTACAAAGATGTGACAGACTGTGGATTTTCCCCCATAATCCTCACGTTGTACCTGTAGTGGATATTTGTAACTTTTTATCAAGTGTTTTGCTGAGTAAGTAGTTGATTGATGGATGATTGATGATGGTTGAATAGAAGCTGGTGATGCTGTGTCTTGTGCCTTACAGTTGTTCAAACTCCCTCATCTGCTTCCTTTCATGACTCAAGGTGCTCTTAGGGTTGTTTTTTTGTTGTTTTTTTCCCTTCTATTGACTTGACACCATGGGTGCAGGTGTTGTGCACCTGAACACCAATATTCCCTTGTGGGTCAATGTTTATTCAGAAATCTTGCTGTAAACAGTTTTGTATATAAATAAATCTGTTACTCATTTGATGTGTCTGCTGATTTTGGCTGCATTCTTTAGGTGGCTAAACTTTCCCTTTTATAGATGTTTGATATTTGTAAAGTATCAATAAAAGGATGATTTGAAATTTGTATTAAAGTGAATATCGAAAGAGTATTAAAATTCTTGCCTCTAATTAGTGACTATAAGCTTAAAGTATTCCTATTTTCTACTTATTTTAATACGCTTTTGTTGTGTTAAGGTTTGGAGCAACACAGATATGAATCCACGACATACAGGATAATGGAGAAAACAGCATTATGGAATTTAAGTACCAACAGCAAGTGTAAGAAAATATAAAAAATCAGAACTTTGAAACCAATTTATTGCCTATTTCCCCCCATTTTGTTGAGATTAGACGATGATTATCACAAAATGAATCGGATTTTAAAACTCAGTTTGTACGTACTCCATTGAAGCAGACCTGTGTATCTGTGTGGAAATCTCTAGAGAGCCATTTTAAATGTTCAGCTGCTACTCGGAAGGAAATGTATACAGACCACAGAACTAAACAATGTGAGCTTGAAAAGTAATGTCTGGCTATGTTTTTTTGGTGTGTACATTGAGGCACACATATAAAAAGTTGTTTACAGGGAAAACAGAATCGTGGGAAATGTACACTAAAGTAACTGATCAAATATATAAATAATGGAAGGACGCAAAAAGCAAGGTCGCTTGTATTACTGAACAGATCTGCTCTGCTTGATGTACAACCGGCCATTTATCAGCGAGTTAATGATTAATGTGTCCATACATACACATCATCCTTATGTGGGGATTAACTTGCGTCCTGCCCCAACCTGAGATCGTTTACATTTGAACAGTACGGTAACACCACTTGTATTACGGTAGCACTACGTGTATTACGGCAACACTGCATGTATTACGGTAACGCCTGTGCACCCATTCATGTAGCTCATTTCAAGTTATAGCGGAAGACTTGCGGTGCTGTGGGAGAGCCTGCCATTTGTACACAAGCCCGGCTAAAGGAGAGGAAGCGACTCAGCTCATGGAATATGGAGTGTGTACGTTATCTTGCTGTATCTTCTACAAATCGACAGCTTTCTAACACCCAGTTATAAACTAAATGCACGAACCTGACTTTCTGAAGCATGCTAACGGCAGCAGCTAGCTAGCTAATTCTTACTAGACTAGTTGTGGGGCTAACTCTCCTGTGAGTAAGGTTAGTCTCTCGTTAGGAAAGCACGTATTTTTTTCTTAAAAATACGAAAGTAGTTGTGGTTTTGGCCACGATAGCGGTGTTTAATTGTCAGTAAAATTAGACAACATGCTACATAAAGTCTCACCGGGGTGACTGACGTAAAGTCACCTCGGTTGACTTGTTAATGTCAACAGATTGTGACGCTAGCTCAATACGCTGCGCTAACGGCGCTGTTGTAGTTCAGTACGAAACGTCGTTATTCAAGTTGCACAAAACTTCAGCGGGGTCCGTTTGATAACCGGGGTCGTTAATTTCTAACTGGATTGTTAAAAATTGCGGTTACTTATTTTGTGACAGAGTTGACACTGTTTGATGTTTAACTAGCTAGCAGACAGCAATGTTCCTGGACAGTTAGCTGCATCCCACGGGTTAAGTCATGAACAGGACAGTAACTCGTACTTCCGTGGGAAATTATTCTGCAGTTGACCTGATAATATCACAACTCGATAATCACAGCACATTTCTGCTCTAACTCTGATCTTGTCATAAACAATAAATAGTCATCTAACCACATGGATGATATTTCACATACTTCACTTTAACCTGCATGCTAATGTAACACAGTAATCCCCATACTAATCACGTAACCTCACATAAACCCTGGTATTAACCCAAATGCTTTAGCTATATATGCATCATTATACACAACCTCAACCATGTCATGGGGTATGACTAATAAACATGTAAAACTTTGTACTCATAATTTTACTTGGGGCTGAAGTCATTGTTCCCACCCATAATTATAATTCGATATTTTAGCTATGCTGAGAATTATTGATTAATGTCAATCTGGCATTTGTATTTAGGAGGACGCCCAGATAAGCTGACTTTTGATTGTCTTTACCTTTTTCTTGTAGATTCCAGTGAGTATTGATGATTTTGAGGGCAAAAAGGACCCAGTCATAGAAGGTAAATGACTTGTATAAATCCCATGAGAGTACAATTCAGAAGAGAGAAAGGATTGTCCTCAATAGTCTCTCTCTCTCACTCTCTCTCTGTCTCTCTCTCTCTCTCTCTTGCGCTGTCTTTTTTTTTCAGACCCAGAGCACAATGTGTACACCAGGTTTATGAAGTCCCACCGTTGTTATGACCTTGTACCCACCAGCTCCAAATTGGTTGTGTTTGATACTTCACTTCAGGTGAAACACAAACCCTCAAATATGAATTAAAAAAAACCCTCATATGTTTCACTTTAACTTGAATAGACAATTTTTTTGTGTAAATAATCTTTTAGGTGAAGAAGGCATTCTTTGCTCTTGTTTCTAACGGTGTAAGAGCAGCACCGCTGTGGGACAGCAAGAAGCAATGCTTTGTTGGTAAGGATAACTCTTATTTGGCTCTGTTTTCACTCTTTGACTAAAAATAAGTTCAATTATGGACTGATTTAATGCTCTGGTTTCTGTTCTGCAGGCATGCTAACCATCACAGACTTCATTAACATTCTTCATCGCTATTACAAATCTCCATTGGTAAGATGGTTATCATCTTTGAATAGATGTATTAATTAAAACTCAATGTGCAAAATGATTTGGTTTTATATCAGATTTTTTTTAAAAATATGTTGCTTACTGTGCACCTTTTCACTTTCTCTTTGCTCTAATAATCTTTCTTGATACTACTAACAGTAACCTGGTCTGTTTCTTTAATATTTCAGGTTCAGATATATGAGTTAGAAGAACACAAAATTGAAACATGGAGAGGTGAGAATGTTTTGTGAATACAAAATGTGATTCACTCTGGTTATCTTCCAGGTAAACTATATTGTCTGTTCTTGATTCCAACAGAGCTGTACCTTCAAGACTCTTTCAAGCCTTTGGTTAGCATATCTCCCAATGCGAGGTAAGTAGAACTAGAAAACAACAATCATCTATGTTTTGGTGTTTTCTGTGTCAAACTTTACTTTTCTGAATGTGTGTGTGTGTAGTTGAGGTAGTATGAGATGCTTATTTGCACGACCATCGTAGGTGTGTGAAAAGTTCTTCCATGCTTTGTTCTGTCAACCAGAATTTTCCTTAAAAAAAATGTGAACACTATTTGAAAATTATCTATGGGTACAGCAAGCTTTTCATCAATTTAATGGTGGATTATAAGAAAATTAGACTTTGTTTTTAACAGTAAAATTGAATGTACTATATGAATGCTACACTGCACAATTCCATTTCTTTCCAAGAAACAAGAAATAGTTGATAAAATTGCATTAGTATTTACATTTTTTAAAGTTTTTTCTCTCTCACAACATGCTGTTTCTCTTGGTGCTTGATAATGACTTGATAAACCTCTCTGTGTCTCTGTGTCACAGTTTGTATGATGCGGTATCATCTCTGCTGAAGAACAAGATCCACAGATTGCCTGTTATCGACCCCCTGACAGGGAACACACTCTATATTCTCACACACAAGAGGATTCTCAAGTTCCTGAAGCTTTTTGTAAGTCCCCCTGGGCCTCTCTCCTTACTGCTGGTACATTAAATACTAAAAAATCATCCGTGTGTGTGTGTGCACGTGTGCGCGCGTGTGTGTGTCTGATTGTAGCACTGTAGATCTCTCATACAGAGCAACAACGATTTAGGAAACTGTATATTTATAAGCTATTAAGCAAAGACACCAGTTCCCCTAAAGTTTTCATCAAGTTCAAACACTTGTTTCTGTTTTCAGATATCAGAGATGCCAAAACCCTCATTTTTGAGGCAAACCTTAGAGGAACTGAACATTGGGACATTCCAAAACATAGCAGTGGTCCGTGCAGACACACCGCTGTACACAGCACTGGGCATTTTCGTTGAGCAGCGAGTCTCTGCGCTACCTGTTGTGGATGACAAAGGTATGTGGACTGGTTTAAATTATTTACGTGTTGTGTTTGCATTAAGGACCGGGGACCTTTTGAATTTTATGTTCTTATGTGTTGTGTCTGTCTTGCAGGTCGTGTGGTGGACATATACTCAAAATTCGATGTTATCGTAAGTTAAAAAGTAGAATTTTGTCATTTTTTTCATGCCTTGCCACTATGGTGCAAGTGTGTTATTGTGTCCTGCTGGTGTTTGGTGACTCTGTAGACACGTTCTTGTGAACATGATAGCAATGCAAAGTAAAAGCATTGTAAGTCAATTGGGTTGTCTTTGTACAGAACCTAGCAGCAGAAAAGACGTACAACAACCTGGATGTGACAGTGACCAAAGCCTTGCAGCACCGCTCTCAGTACTTTGAAGGAGTGCTGACCTGCAACAGGCACGAGACCCTCGAGGCCATCATCAACAGACTAGTGGAGGCTGAGGTGAGAAGTAGATGTCAGGATGTGTGATCAAGTGTCTGTCACTTGTGGCTGGTTCACACCGATTGGGGGATAAGCTACAGCTTGTAGTGTATTCCCTCCACTCCTTAGGTTCCTTATCAGAAACCAGCTAAAAAAAACAGATCAGTTCATCTTGTCTTTAATTTGGTGGTGGATAGAAATGTAATTTAGTGTAGTCAGTGTTTTATAGCAGACACAATGTACATGCTTTGATCCTCCAGTGTCTCATCACTACACTGAAGCACTATTGTATAAGACTGACCTCTATTCATCTCTCTCCTGTTGCTAAGCCACCAACATGTAAGAGCTAGACATCATTCTGGCGTCTATCACCCCCAGCTGTCATTTAAATAAAAAAAATAAAAATAAAAATTCCTCGCTCCTTTGTCTTTAGCTGTCGCAGCTGCTGTGTGTACACACATTGCCATGTACTAGTTTTTATACACATTCCTTTGGCTGCAGTAGAAATAACATTTTGCGGAGATGAGAGTAACATCGATTGTGCTCCTGTGTGTCGTCCAGGTGCACAGGCTGGTGGTGGTAGACGAGCAGGATGTGGTGAAGGGAATTGTCTCCCTTTCAGATATCCTTCAAGCACTAGTGCTTACTGATGGAGATGAGGGTAAGTACCAACAGTAACATAATCCAGGAAACATTAAAAGCATTTGAATCTTTTCCTGAATTTGTTCATGGTTTCTTTTAAGTGATGTTTTGATTTTGTTTTTCCCCTACAGGCACAGCTTGAGGAAGTCATTCATACACAGAAAGGCTACACATTTTTAAGATGGAGGTTAGAGCAAAGGGAGACAGAATCGGCATGTGAGAGAGGAATTCTAACATTATAGTGAAGTGTCATCCATCTCATTTAACATTCACACATGAAGACTTCTCCCTTTCTGCAAAAAGTTTGCTGAGTTTTTAGCAGCATAGCAATATATTACTGTAGTAGTACAGGACACACAGAACCTCCTATAAATTGAGCCAAATTCCATGTCACTAGAGAGCCAGAAAAGACGCAAAAGCACAAGAAGCCTCTGAAGAAGAGCTGTAGCCACACAGGATAACCCAGCACCATTCCCACCTCTGTGGCTGCTGTACTGATCTGCATAGAGGAGACAGTTAGTTATCACTCAGATTAAAATATATTCACAATATTGAAACCAACCAATTAGGAAAAACTGGTTTGCTTGCGTTTTGTTGGCTGCATTTTACTTCCATTATAAGGCTAAAATCTACAAGCACATCAAGTCTGTCTGAGAGTAATATTAAAATGTGTAACTTCAGCAGGTCAACAACACATTACACATATTCCTGAGCCTTGATCTGTGGGCGAATAAGATGTAAAATGTAAACCAGTTTAAATGATCATGCTGTTTCTCATTCAGTCAGCTTAACAACGAGGTGTGTCAGAAAAGTTTCAGGATTGGTGTCACAGAATATATATTTCAAATCCAAACTACAAACTACAAGTTTTCCCCTTCAAAGTTATCCCCCTGGAGTCCAACACACTTCCCAAGCCTTCTCTGCCACACCACCAGCAACCCCGGAAAGAATCCTCCCGGAATCCCCCCAACCCCCGCCGCAAAACCCGCCTGAAGGCCGCCAACGCCTCAAAAAAAGGCCCCCTGAAGAACCCCCTGAACCTGGGAAAAAAGCAAAAAAATAAAACGAACCAAGGGGGGGGAAGAAGGAAGGTGGCCCAACAACCCCAAGCCCCTCCCAACCAAAAAACAACCGAAGCCCAAAACAATGGGAACAAGCCGGGTGGCAAGGGGAAACAACCAAAAACTGGCCCGCCAAAAATCCCACCCCCTCTCCCCAAACGAAAGAAACAAAACCCCAAAGAACCCCTTGGTGAACGGGCGGGTGAACAACCGAAAGGGGAAAACTCATAGTTTGTAGTTTGGGTTTGAAATATATCTTTTGTGACACCAGTCCTGGAACTTTTTCTGACACACCTCGTATTCAAATGCAGGCAAAGGATCGAACTGTTAATCCTTGTCTAACTTAAGTTGTGGTATTCTTCCAATTTGCAAAGACATATTGACTGATAACTCAAGTGTCTTTATTTATGTTTGTCTACATTTTGCACATGCAGTACATGCATATAAAAACAGTCATGTCATACCTTTGAGTTAGTGTACAATTATTTAATGTGATTTTTGATTCAAACACTATACCTTGAAGACCTTGAAGGTTGAAAATTAAAAAGTTCTGGTTTAAATCTGTTTAGTAAGTCAGGATTTTTGCAAGTTTCAGCTTCAAGGACAATTTAAGACCTAAATAAGGCTAAATGCAGTTTTTGCAGTTAGGAGTGTGCTACGAATTCAAGGGCTCAGAGTTCGATCTGTTGTGTAGCCAGACGCAAAGTAGCAAACCTGGAACAGCACTTTAGACTTCCACGACAAGCTTTCTGTGAAGTCTAGAAAACCATTAGTGAGTCTGCTGTTAGAGATGACTGTTAGTCATTCTGTATTCTGTTTGAATGCCCCGCTTTGGATATTTATGGATTTTCTGTTTTGCCATTTTGTGTGTTGCTGTCATGTATAAGTACGTGTAATGGATTGTACATTTCACTTACACACATTTTTTTCTGCCTGTTTTGTTGCCCACACTTTGGGTTTTGGCATTACTGTTGTTAAAGGGATTTGAAAGTAATGATCAAATTATCAATTTGTGGTATTCTTTTTCTGACTTCTGTAATCAGCGTGCTTTATTAATGTCAGTTGCAGTCAGTGATGATGTCAGAACATCAGATATTATAGGTTTATTCACAGTTTTTCTGTTTATTGTGATTAGAGGACTATAAAAATCACCAGCATTTCCTTTCCATTTTCTAAAGAGGATTAGTGAAGAACATGTCACACTGAACTGATTTGGTAAATATGAAATGGAATATATACAACTGTATGTAAATGCACAGTTTTTGTAAGAATCTGCTTTAATTTAATGGATGAGCAATAAAGGTTCAGGGGTTTGGGAGTGTGCTCTACATGGGGTTAATTATTAATGACACAACTTTTGTCTCAACATCTGTGTAGCATTATATTCTGGGGCATATGTCCACTTAATAGACATTCATAAACTGATGTTTTGTGGAAAGCAGCTGTTAACACCCACATCACCTTTAAAGTTGGCATGTGCTCTTGTTAGTGAAAGCTTAGGTGGCTCCAAACATTGCCTGTGCTTGGAGCTGAGAAGGTTTGTTTAAAGTGAGTCACTGTTAACTACCTGAGCTAACAATGAGCGCCAAGACACCTAAACGTTCCACTAATTTGAGACAAACTGCAGTCAAGTAACAGTATCTCTCATATAAAAGTAATAATGTGATCCTTTGTCAATATGAAAATACTTTCTATACCTACAGTCATCCTCAAATGTATTCATACCCTTTCATTAAAGAAAAGGCAAAGTTCACAATAGTCACTCAAATAACTAGAAACTCCAAAAAGTAAAAAATTTGCTAAATTATAATTTAATGAAATAAGTTATTGCTTTTGAATTGTGGTTGAAAAGAATAATTCAAAACAAACAAGTCTGTCCCGGACAAATTAGAACACTTTGCTGATGGGCAGTGGGCCAAAATCAAAATACCTGTCAACATTTGTAGAAGTCTGAGAGTTACAGAAAACACTTTATTGCAGTGATTGGTTCAAAGGGTTGTTCAACGAAATATTGGTTTATGGGTTCATCATGCTTGTTTTTAAAATATATATATATTTCTGTTGAACCACAATTCAAAAACAATGTAATGCTTTTCATGATATTTTGATTTATTATTACTTTTGTCAATTTCAACTTATTTCAGTGACAGCTGTTTTTTTCCTTCTTTAATGGGAGGGTATGAATACATTTGAGGACGACAGTATATATATATATGTGCGTGTGTGTGTGTGTATACAAGGATGGGAAAGTAAAAACAGACGCCACATAGGAAAACAACTGTATTTATTATTACTCCATATTAAAGTTTACATGATCAATGTCCTGAAGGGGTTTTTACATGGATGCATTTCTTTGACATAACTGGACTCACACCCCGCCATTCTTCCAAAGAGATACTGGGAATACAGTATTTAAAAAAAAAAGCTTGATTTCATTACGCACTTCTACATTGTAAGGCAAATGCAACTGTTCAGTGTAAAAATATGGTTCACATTCAGTAAAGCTCCCCAGTGTTTCCCGCCAAAAACAACAGCATCAAGGGCAGTTTATCCGCTCTTACAAACGTCTTGTGTTTAGATGATTCTAAAACAAAAACAGCAGGTCAGAGACGATTGTGAAACAGCACTGAGACATTTCAGTAGTATTCAATTTCCACATTTTTTTTCTCCCAGAGATCAAGGGAGAAGCCTGATTCTCTTTACAGTTTCCAGTCAGAACAAAGGTATTGCAACTGACTGGCATGATTTGTGTAAACATTCTCATTTTCAGTGGTGTGATCCTAAATAAACACCGGAGGCCATGGCCAGAGATGATTCTGGGAACAGTTTGGTTTTAATGCTGTGAGGTCAGTAGTAGTGCACATGTGGCCTTTCGGGCTGTCAAAGGGACTCACAGCATACACACTTAAATAACATGGGAACATCTATACACACAAACAGTACCTGCAGGATTTGCATAAAGCTCAACACAAAAGTGCACCTATTTCCTGAAAACAAACACAAAAAGCTAGAATTAGAGGAAACAATCGTCATATCATTTACAGTAATGTTACTTGAGATGTCAGAGAGTATACTTATACATAATTGTGTTTACAGATTCTATCCACAAACTATAAAGCCAGTACAAAAAAGTCAACCATTTAAAACATACTTAAACCTAATTTTCATTTGTTATATACACAAGTATCACCTTAAAAAGCTAGTTTATGTGCAGTACAGTAGTTATACTTGGCCAGGGATAGCAAGCCCTGAGGGGAGAGGAACATGTTGTAACAGTATTAAAAAAAATCAACATCAAAACAAGCTATCATTCAGATTCCTGGAGTTATGTGTATTTGGACCATATTTAGGGTAAGTAGTACTGGCTGCTCCAAGGGATGAAGGTTTGTCTTAATGTTGTGTATACCAGCTTATCTCAGGGAGCTGAAGGAATGTCGTCTCTTATTTTAGGCTATGCACCCCTAAGAGACTATAATACAGATGGACTACATGTACCATTGTGCTGCAGGCTTCATGTAGCATTTTCTGTGGTTGATATCCTGATCAGAAGTCAGTGAATGTGTCAGTGGTAGCTGCTGCTCAACAGCTAACCCTTCGTCCTAATGCAGCGCGTTTTTGTTTATTATTATTATCTAAATGTGTCTTTTGCTTATCCAGGCTCTGAACAGGCAAAAAAAAAAAAAGCTTGTTGATGTGTAAGCATAAAGAAAACCTGAGTTTAAACCAGCGTATGGGAAAGGTTTCAGACAAGTGGTCCAAAGCTAAATCCTGTGTGGCAAGTCGCCATAATGCTGCAGTGACCCCCATGTTAAAAGTCACCGGGCTGCATTTACACAAAAAGTCTAACCTACATGCTAACAACGTAATTAGCATTTAACACAATCACTCTGCTGTAGCAGAACCAGATGTATTATTTGTAAAATGAGTAACATCCTTTGTGGTGTGCCTGCTGCAGGTGTGGCAGAAAAACCTCAACAGTGCATCACAAACAATAGATCTACTCATTTAAATAACAGAATAAATAATAATAAGTTATCGCTGCCTCACAAAGACAATAAGCACGAATGCCACTTGTTAGCTAATGAGCAACTGTGATCAAAGAGACTTTGCAACCGATATTTAAAATGTTACTTGGTTACTTACATATTGATTGCATACAAGTACACAGGAAGTCAAAGAGTCCTTGGTAGGTCAGTGTGTAGAAAGAAACGAAAAAAGTTCAGGTGGGGCAGCAGTAGCTGAGGACCGGACAGGAAAGGTGGTTCTGTGTATTTTGGCTGGGTAAGCGAGGTAGGGTTTGTCAGAAATCAAGTGGCTTCAAAACTGGCAGGAGTATCTCGATATTTTACAAAGTGCCACCCTCTATTAAAATCTCGTACTTTGTGCAGTCTTTGTAGGAGGCCTGACCTCTTCCCATCAGTGTCCGAGGCAGGTCCTGCTCAGTGCTCTGCTGACTTACATAGCTCAGATTTTAATGTCCTCGTCAATGCTGAGCTGGGACAAGGTCTTTTTGATGCGCAGGGCTGTCAGGCGGGCAGCTCCATTAGCATACCAACACTCCCTCATGATTTTACCCATGACCCGCAAGGCCTGAACAACAGGAAGGAAACACAAGGGTTAGCAATAGAGTACAAATGATTATGATGATGGTACAAATTCAGTTAAGGCATCCTTCTGGCTGAGATCTGGGAAATCTAATTGGACAAGAAACATAGACAGTCAGACGATCTGGCAGGTTGTGAATACAACCCAACCAAATCTGGATTTTTGAGGCTAACAACAATGTAAAAAAATGACAACAATAAAGAATTTTTGAAGGGGATCTCTTAAATTTCCCTTAAATAGATGTGGGTCAGACGCTTTAGAGTTGGAAAAATAAACTTATTGTTTTCTGGTGGAGAAACAACAACAGCAAACATCTCCTTTGCATTTCTGAACAGCAATTTACTATTGGCTGACACAAATTAATCAATTTTAGATAATCATGTCTTGAACGATGTACTGTATCTGACTCTAGTTGTAAATAAGCCAGACAGTTACTCAGATTTACTCAGAGCTGACACACACAAACTGGGAATACCTTGTGGTACAAAAGTGAATGGAAGCCAGTCTGTAATCAGTGTGACAAACTGGTCACTGCAGTTTCATTAACAATTTTAAATATAGTAAGTTCTGTTTCATTCAGATCAAGTTTAGTCCTTCACATTCAGGGTATGTAATTACATTATGATGAGACAGCTGCAAATAACATCAGCTAATGTGATGTTTATTGCTAACTTACTATTAGATGAGTCAACTACCTAAATACCAAGTGTTGCCAGTGTCAAGCCACCAAACTGAAACGCACCATTACACTCAATTAAATAATGGAACATTGTTGGCGACATTTGGGATAATTAAGTGCACATGGCAACAAACATAAAAACCTGCTGGCAGGTTTGAGAGGCCTGTTATCTTAAAAGAAATCACAGAAACTACATCATTTATTAAAGCCAGAAATTGTCAATAGCTAATAACAGCTCATAGTTAATATTTTATCAAAATCACTTTATTCTACATGCTTGATTTTAAAATGTACCACAAATAAACAGTTTGCAGTAACCAGATTCTATTAAAAAAATAAAATAAAATCTATACTCTGCTGTGACCAACAAAAACTGACAAAAATTCTTGACTATTTGGGCTGAACTACAGGCTGTGTTTACCTGGAGAGGATAACAAACAAATTATGAATTAACTAGTAAAATGTCTATAGTGTGTAGAGCCCACATTTTTCCACTATTAGTGTGTGCACTTAGAAAAATGTTTTCTCTTTTATTTTTCCCTTATTTTTCTTTGATTTATGGCATTCTGAGTTTGTTAAACCGCACAAAAGGAAACCCGACTTCTCTGCTGTTTCCATTTAAGGTGCAGGACTTTATATTGCAGAGATAAATGAACTAACAGTGAGAAAAAAAATGTGAGGAGGAAAAAACAGGCATTGAGGTTCAGAGGCTATCTCGATAAATACAATGTTACGACTACAAATGGGATTGATGGCCAATACTGTAAAAGTAGTGTAAAAAAAGCCTTTCAATGTGGGTACAGATTGTTCTTTTAAATCATTTAACTGTGTTTTCATACCTCGTAGCTCTGCCACCAATTTGGAACACTGGGTCGTAGCTTTTGGTCACACACCACCTTCCTCATCTCTTCTATGGACGGGTCAGAAGGTACCAGGTCAAAGTAGGGCAGCTGGTACTCTTCATGGACACCTGATAAAACAGGACAGTGTTGAGGTTAGATCTGTGTAGTCATCTCAGATATTAACAGTGAGAAAAAACAAACAATCCAGATTGAGTATCCAGACTGAAAACAAAAAGAGGATCACCTCCACTGTTGCAGCGACGGGTGATCTCCCAGTAGACCAGCCCCAAAGCGTAGATATCAGCACATTTGAATGACTCAAAGTGTTTCATGTTGATAGTCTCATCCAGAACCTCTGGAGCCATGTACCTGGGGGACAAAAAAAATAAAAAATCAATCCTGGTTGGTGATAATGCATAGAATTAAAGAATACTCTGTGAAACATGTAAAACATATCTGTGTATGGTTGTGTATGTCGGGAAAGACCTCTTGGTGCCCACTCTCTGATTGGGGGCGATGTCGATTGTGTCCGTTGCAGAGTCATGACGGACAGCCAAGCCCAGATCAGCGATGGCGCAGGTGCAGTTCTTCTTCACCAGGATGTTCTTGGACTTCAGGTCTCTGTGGGCGATGCCTGGCTTTCCTACTCAGACATAAAAGAACAAAACAGTGTGAATCCTAACTTCTGTACACAATTAGTTTTTTAACATGTTAATGCCAGCGTTGCATTGCTTTTCATGAAAAATCAGAAACTGCCAACGTGTTGTGTAAGGTTGCTTTTTTTGGGCGTCAGTCTCCTTCATAAAAATAGAAAAGGCTCCTCCATTTGTGCCGTAATATACGATCAACTGCCCCTTTATTTGCCATGACAGTTAAGAACTCTCAGCAGTAAAAGGCTATCGAAGGTAATGGTGAATCTAAGTTTTCGTAGATGACAGTTTGTATTGCAGCAGTAAATACTGTCTGAATACTTGGACACACGATCAAAGACACTGGAAAAGTGTGGCCTTTGGAAACTTTACAAATTCCCCACACTGCTGCTTTAACTGTTTTATATTTATCCTCATTCAAGCTGCCATTTTGCAAGTTATCAGTATCCAATTGCCTCTTTAACAATAAAAAAAAAATATTTGTAAGTTTCTATCCTTTTCATTTGAAGAGTGGTATGCTACAAACATGTTTTGTTAACAGAGTAACATCTAATCACATCCTAAATACTGTTGTGACAGATTCTGTAGATGACTCAATCCAGTTACATCAGAGTCTTGCGATAAATCGGAGAGGTTAGTTGTCAACATTAGACGTCTTGTTCTAGTCTGTATGTGGGGGAGGCGAAGTAAAAAATTGGTTTCAAAAGGCAAATGTATACAAACAGCATTGTAAGTAGTCAAAAGATGCTGCTGGTAAAAAAAAAACATTTTTACAATTAGCAGAGTTATTCTAAGCATATAAACAGAAATACACGCTGTCACTGCTAAAAACTGTAGACCTTATGTATTCCTTTACCTGCCAAAAAGTCTGGAATGAAACAACTGAATGACAGTATTCAGTGAAAGACATCAAAAAGTACTGCACTACCAGTAGATACTGCATGAACAGATAAAAGGAACTTGACTTGCCTAGACTTGACTTGTCTGGGCTTTGAAGAGCCATTGCTATGACTGTGGCTTTACTGAAAAGGAAAACTGCAACTAACAACTCATTACTCCAGAAACTCAACCACATGGCTGGTTGTAATATGAAGAGCTGTATAAAAACGTACATCCCTTTCCGTCACACAATGCCATCAGGGAGGCATTTTACCGATCCCACATTTTTTTCTGAAGCATGCCAAAAAACCCCAAACACATGAATGAGTCATAAATAAAAGTCTTTTAGCGACAGGAAGAACAAGTAGTCTTGTAACAGATGGCACGGGCTATTTTTTCACAGAAAAACCATCCCCGCTTTACTTTTAGTGCCTAAAACCTTTGCACAGTACGGTATAATCGCCGTTTTATCTTCTATGTAGAAAGCAACAAACTTTGTACCACCTGATTCATTAAACGGTAGAAGCCAGGACAAATAAATGAAATTATACTATATTGCACAATTGTTCAAACACTACCTTGTGTTCCAAGAATCTCCATGTGCAGATGAGCAAGGCCGTTTGCAGCTGACAGTGCCAGTTTGATCATTCCCTCAGTAGTGACAGAGTAGCGGTTCAGGTAGTCAAACAGAGAGCCGTACTCATGGTAGTCTGATACCAACCACAGCTGAGTCCATGTGCCGTTGTCTAAACATGAGACACACATACAGAGATGTCTGAGATATGATAAGTTCACTTAAGAATGATTGGTAATTATATAGCACACAAACAACCAGCAACATCCCCAAAGACGAAATTATTCAGCCCTTCTTTGACGACAGAAGTGAACATATCAAGGGTTTGTACCTTTGTTGTCAGCAGCTATAAAGCCCAGGATGTTTTCATGGCGTAGCATGATGGTCTGATAGATCTCAGCCTCACGGAACCAGGAGCGCTCCTCTCTGGATGAGAAGATCTTCACCGCCACGTCGCCACCCCTCCATCGTCCTCGCCAAACCTCCCCAAACCGCCCTTTACCAATGATCTCCTGCAGGACAATTGTTCTGGCTACAGTCCGCTGAACAAACAGAGGCAGACCTGCACAGAAAAAAATGAGAATGGGGATGAGTAATTAGATGTCTTCTAATATAAATTTGATCTAAAACCACCCAAACTATGATGAACTACAACAGTAGTATTAGGGTGCAGCTACATTATAACAACTGCACTGACCTGAGCCCGAACCAGATGTGGACAGATTGTAAATGAGGTCCTGCAGGGACCTGTCTTTGGCCAGGTAGAGGTGTTCACAGGATGGATCCTCTACCTCCAGCCTTTGCCTGTGGTTGTAGGCCCTCTGGTGATAATGATACAGGAACACGCTCACCAACAGCAGCACACACAGCAGGAACAGTGGCCCTGCAATCACGGCAACTAGTTCCACCAGCCCCCATGTCCCACCTGGACCGTAGCCTCCCCCCAGTTCTGGCGGTGGTGTCACTGGAAAAATAAAAGTAAGAGCATTAAAGTGCAGCACACACATAAGACACTATTTCCTGATGTTAACGGTTTTATCTTCTCCGGGGATGACAGTGCAAAGCTTGTGACTAAGCAGACAATCAGAAAACTGAGCCAACATTTGACTCTTGTATTAACCTACATTGATTCCTAGTGATGCCACAAGGAAATGTTCAATTCTCTACAGTGAAAAACTTTTACTGCAAAATACAAACAAACAACAACAACAAAAAAAACAGCTACATGAAGTATTACATTAACAGCATACAAATACAGTAAAGGGTGTGCTTTTTCTCTCCTGACTGCTCATATTATTCAGCAGCACGTTGGCTTTGCGATACTTGTGACCTCACCCTTGATTCAGACATATGATTTTCAGACTGTTGCTGGTCCCAGTGTGTATTGTTCAGGTGGTGGTTATTTCACGATCAACAAACATGCTGACTTTAATCAGAAAACATAATTTCTATTCATCATTGTAGCCTTCCATGCTCATTTTAACATGCACTGTTGTAGAGTCTGCAGTTTAGATTAAGATAACAACAGTCTGTGAGTGTCTAAGCCACAGAACCAAGTATAGCCATTTCAGATTTAAATCACTTTGTTTACACCAGGCCCGTGGTTAAATAGTTAACAGCTTCAAATTAACTTGTGTTTTTGGGTCTAAAACTGTCCGCAATTTCCTGTCACAAAAGTTCCTTACTGACATTTTGCTCTCCAAAATATTTTAGGACACGGTACAAAACACCACAGGAAACATTAATCTTCTCAGGAACCATGAGTCACTAAAGAATGCCAGAAACTCTTAACAGGCACTGAGATGCTTTAAATATCATGTCTGGACTATAACGTGGCCAATAAACCGTGAACACAGGACAGTTTGCTTTATAGTCTTGCTCAGTATCAGCCCACTCACTATATGTTAGATTTGGGTATATGATAGTTGAATGAAAGACATGCTTTTTGTATATTTACTGCAAGTCATGACACATACAATTGTGATTCTATCTATGAAAAAACATAAACTTAAACACTTGTGATTTCAACACTAAGTGTACCTGATCATAGCCAATATACACAGAGATACATGACTGTTCTCACCAGAGGGTATTTTGAGGTCCATGCTGTTGCAGTAGTCAGTGTAGCAGCAGTGGGTGTTGAGATAACCCTCTGCACTGAGGCAGTAGAATGGTTGTCCAGGGGGCACGAGACGGTCCCGTGTGATACAGACGCGGATGTGCTGCTCTTGGCCATTGCTAAAGAAGGTGGAAGCCATGCAGGCCCCATCAGTCTCACACTGGGAGCCAGTCTTCTGGCATTGAGTGGTGGTGCAGTTACACCGCAGAGCTGCAAATGGTCAGAAGAAACAAAACAGTGTCAAATACAATCGCCTGTAGAAAGTGAAATGTTTAACTCTGATCTGCAAGCATTGTTTGACTGTTTGACAATTTGACCAAACGCGTGCTTTCACAGTCAAATGTAATAAAAAGCTGTACAGAAATTTACAGTACACAACATGTGAAGTAGAAGGCAGTAGCAACAAGCAGACTCGTGTCCTAAAACCTAATACTTACACTACATGTGGATTCTGTGGTGGTTTTTAATATGCTAAGTGGCAAAATATAGAATATTCAAAGGAGGTACTTTGCCCACTAAAAACAATTAGTTTTTGAGTGTGCTTTGCACAAAATGCAATACATGTAGGAGGTAGTGAAACAGCTCCAGAAAGTTCGTGGGAAACAGAAAAATTTGTAAAAATCAGACGAGAAACACTCAGATGTCTAATTGGCAGTAGTCTCCAAAGTTAGTTTGGGTGATGAATATTTAGATAAATTTGTGGACTGATTCCTAAAATAGTAACAATGAGTAAGATGTAGTACATGTTGAATTGAAGGATCCATTGATTATTGGCTAGGATGATTATCTAATACTCAGCATTTTCTTCATTATTGATATTGTTACATAGTTGTAACATATTCCCAAATCCAATATAATAAGTTAATAATAAATGAGCTACTGTGGATTCATTTTAAGCACCTTTCTTTCTCTGTAATCATCTCAAACATGTCCCGCCCACAGTGCTATGTGACTGGTTAGGCATCATGAGAACTAACCAATCAATACTGAAGGGTAAATACAGAAAAGTTCCTTTTATTTGAACAGGTGAATCATAAATAAAGGCATTTTGACAGAACTGCATGTTCACCTTTGTGATATTCTACATTTTGACACTAAGATTTTCACTTTTTCTGCAAATGTATATCAATTCTAAATATCACTTATCTGTCTCCTTGATTATTAATAATCAGTCAACCTGTATTTGGCTCACAGTTTATGTGTGTCCAATACACCTTACAAACAGTAAGCAGTCCAAGTACATACAGGACAATAAGAAGGAATACCTTATCATTTATGAACTTCTGTAATAGTTTCTTTAGCATTAGACATTTCCGTTTTTGGCTGCCTAAGACGACTGCATAAGGATTCATTTGGTGCGTGGGAGGCCCATGTGAGGCTGAAACTCGAAGAAGGACGTGGAGTAAAATCAAACAGCAGAACTGAAAATAATTAATTAAGTATTAAGGGAAAATCTTCAGATGAGTAATGTTTTGCAAAGATGAACCAGAGCTAGAACTGAGGACAGACAGATTCAGGATGGTACTGGCAAGGTCAGGAAGTAGAGGAAGTGTTAGACGTTGGGTGTGTGAGAATGAGAGGAGAGTTTATGTGAGGCCCATGTAGGAGAAGAGATTAAATGACCGACTGCGAGTGTCATTAGACCGACAAGAGACTGAGACTTCCTCTGTAAAATCGAGTAATGTTATTAAGACAAAGATGTGGTGTGGCATTCCAGTAATTCTGAAAAAGCCGCCAGTGGATTCCCAATAGAAAATGACCTTGGCAGAGCCTGTGCGCTGGAAGTGACTGTTAACATGCAGCTGATGTGGGGGGAAATACAGAGTTAATGGGTTACAACATCTTCTGTGGCACTGACTCACGCCATGCCCACACCTACTTGGCAGACGCTGGTGGTCAGATACGAGAAACAAAACAACCACAAGAGGAAAAAGGAAGATAAATGCTGACTAAAGATGAAATGAGACTGACATTTCAGACTTTCCGCGGATCACAAATGTCACAACCTTAATCCATGCGTGGGGCTGACTGTTGTATACCACAGTGGAATTCTCAAAAAAAAAATCTGAACCGGAAAGGGACATCCTTAAAAAAAAAAAAAAAGCAGAAATACAACCAAGATCCTGACCGCTTCTCTTCCACTGTGGTTACAAAGGCAATAGTAAAAACATTTCAAGTGGCTAAAATAAATCACAATGGAAAACACGCTTTCTTGTGAAGTACATGACAGCTCGTATCACCACAGGAATTCAGCTGCTTGGCCACTGAATCTTTGCTATAATTTTCCTTTTTCCCAACCAGACCTGAAAAGCTGTGTTTTATGACAACATATCTTACAACTTAATATTCCACACATTTAAAGAAAGCAAGAAGCAAGGTAGTGAAATGTGCACAATAAAATGCACTGTGTGGGGTTGCAGAGGAATGTGGTGTACGATTACAATGTGTTCCTCGCAACATTTCACAGGCTGCAGAGCCAGAAGGACGCTTTCCACATTTGTGTATCACCACTTTATATAAGAAAGAGTGATATGAAGATCATGTAATATCAGAAGAGTGTTTTGTGACAACTATTTCTTTTATTTTATGACTGTATCTGGCTAATGCTATAAATCAGCAACATAATTTCTAAGTAAGACAAAGAAAGAATCCTAATTTGCCATGTCTCTATCCTGACACCATGAATTATGAAGTCTAAGTAAAACTAGAAACTGAAAGGGTAAAAAGAATTAAAATAAATACATGTGCAAACAGTGGAAATAGGCATTATCTGAGAAAAATACGGTGTTATATAATATAATATTATGAAATGGAGGACTGCCTTCCAGTAACACTGGATGTATAGGGTTTTGCATCAATGTGAAGCATCATTTATCAGACATTTAATTCACTAAATAAGTCCAAAGCAGATTGTCCCATCCATTTGTTTAATCTACAAACAACTAAATGTCTTGATGTGCTGTAAATCACTGCTTCAATATGAAATTATTATTACATAACATTATCATCATTGTAATTTTATCTCTTTGGTCCGCTTTCTCAGATAGGAAACAACAAATCTTTATTATGCTGAATTATGCTAAAAGTAATACTAATGAAAACTACTCAAGACACTGAGTGGCCACTCCATAAATAAATCATTAGACATACATTATTAACATCTGTGTGTTGTCTATTCTTTATATCTTTACCAGGATGCTGTATACAACTAATATCTACCTGCAAGCAATCTGATCAATTCTGCATCAACATTTGAGCACCTAAAAGTCCTGACAGCCAGTAATGTCACAGCATCAGTTGTCTAACTAGCATCACTGCTGTTTAGCTTCAGCCACTTTCATGTGTAAATAAGAACAACAAGCTAAGCAGGACCAACAGTAAGTTAGCTACTGTGTTTAGAGTCTAATTCATGCGAATTCCACTTTAACACTCAGTTTAACTGCTGTTTTATACATTCTGGACGGCAGCAGTGAGACGTAAAGCTGTGTAATATTTTAGCTACTCGGCATTTCAGAGCAAACTGCGGCTGACCCGGTTCTCCCGTGTGCGGCTTCGCGGACGTTAGCTAGCAGGCTAACTCCACGGTGCTCCCCGGTGACGGAGGTCCTGAGCATTTCACATGAACAAAAAAAAAAACAAGGGCTGTAAGTTACTCACCGTTGCAGGCTCGGTACAGGACGACGTGAACCACCGCGACGGCTAACGAAATCCGAAAGTTAGCCATGACCGACACATGCCCGGTTTCATCGCTTCATCGACGCCTTTTAGTTCGCTAACGATGGATGTGTCGAGGCGTGATGAGGAGCTACACCGGGCTGTCAGAGAGCCCCGTTCACTGGCATGATCCACCAGCAGGCAGCAGCAGCACAGACAGGACAGAAGAGGTCAGTATCTATCTATCTATAACAAAGAAGTAAACACAAACACTGCCTTGATTGGATTTACAGTATTATAATAACATCCATTTCCCCAAAGAAACAAAAATCAGTGATCATATCCACTGCACAGTTTCCATAATGTAAACTTGATTCTTGATACTGACACAAATCTACCTCTGAAAGTGTTTTTGAGTGCAAAACTGTGAAATACAACATAACAATAGGAAGCTGGACACAAAAGAAGGATAAAAGATTAAGTATTGGTCTGGAGAGCAAACAAAGAGATGCCTTGACTAAAAGTATATACTCTATTAAATGAATGAATGAGTGAACTTTATGTAGAATATACTGCTGCCATGACATTAACTAAATAAGATGCCTTATGGAGAGAGTTTGAATCTTTCAGCCTTTGGGCATTAAAGCAACATTGATTTATCTCTTTAGGCCATTTAGGATTTAGGATGAGTAGGTGAGTAGGGGTGAAGATTTCACCTGCACTACTACTCCTACTGATGCAACTTATTGATCCGGTGCTTTAGCAGTACTCTTATAGGTGCTTTTTTGGGCTATTTTTTTAAATGAAGAAAACTAAACTGATTCAGAACAGAACTCAGATTGCTTTATTTTTCATATGTACTGTATATTAATCAACATACTTGAGTAGCTCTTTGCAAAAACATTTTTTAAACAAATCACTGTTACATACTATAATATAACTGTAAAATAAATGCAATAATTATTTTCAGCCAAAGAAATGGCAACATTTTAAACCACTCATTTCACAAATACTAATTTTGTGTTAGTGGCACTGAACATCACAGGTTTTACTCACAAAATAAAATATGCATTGTGTTCCATTAAACTGTCCAGAATTATGTAAGAATTAAAAGCTTAATCTAAAACTGGTATTAAGTAAATGTGAGCACAATGTGCAGTTAAAGCCTTATCCATTCTTTCACCTTCATCTTCCACACCTTTCTTCTCTCGTCTTCGGCACCCTCCCTCCATTACCCCTCCAACCCTCACCCCTCCTTCTCCCCACCTCACCTCTATTACCCCTTTCCTCCATCTCCCCCAGCCCCGCTGACTTTCATCTATCTCGACCTTTCCTCGTCTTTACCCACCTTCTCTTCATCTTCTATAACCCCTCTTCTACTATTCTAACTCCCCCTCTAGCTTTTCTGCCATCTCTCTATTTCTCTCACCCTCTTTCCTCACCCTTAGAAGACACAGACACATACTACATGGAAACGTTAATGTTTCCTCAAATCAATTAAAGAAATAAGGTAAACAAACAAACAAAAAAAATCATAATCAGTGTTATTTCTGCAGGTTTCTGCATCTCAAAAAAAAATAAATACAGTAATACAGATGCTGCAGATGTTTGAACTTCAGGTTCTGACTAATTCTAAAACTGTCCACTGTGCTCATCAAATGAAGTCCTTCAGCCTGTTAGCACACTTCCCAACATGAACTTTATAAATACATATTTTGACTGAGCAGCTGCCTCCTGCTCTTCCTATTGTTCCTCCTCTAAGTGCAGCCTCAGCTGAAATACATCCTGGTTGCAGATTTTCACTTTGGCAATCTAACGGAACACAAAAATTCAATAAATTTGGGAACATGTACCGTATAAGCAAACAATCAGTATTAAAACTAGATTATCAACCCAAGAATCCTCTTTAATGTGGTTCCTCAAGATCAGATGAATGATGTCAGTTACTTTGTGCACTAGTTCTGAATGTGATTTAAAATAATTGTATTCCCTTATGTTTATTTTTTTATTTTTTTATCTTAGTGAGTCTGAACTTTATGAAGAAGTAAGCATGCTTTCTTGGAGCAGAGAGCAACTACTAAATAAAACACAAAAATTTGTGGTTAAAAATGAGCTTCTCTGTGATGTGATTGGATAAGCTTTGTAACAGTAGAACAGGATCAATAAAGGACTTCATGCTAAGAGTCAGATTCTAAGAGGGATATTTTACTGCAGATTCCTTAAGCAGGGTTCACAGTGACAGACTGGAGGAGCTGTTGGACATCCCTGTTTGTTTTTTGTTTTTGTTTTTTTAAAACGGGGGCCTGGCGGTTTAAGAAAAAAAATGACCCTCTAAAGAGTGAAACCATACATTCATGACCTGATTTACATATTCAGCAGAACCTTAAAGGTTTGGGACAGAGAAGACTGACGTATTCTTGGTTTGGGTTATTTTGTAAGATTTGTTGATAAGAAAAATATCCAGTATTCAGCCAGGCTAACTGTCCAAGGTGGAGTCTCATGATCAGGAAATAAGGCAGGTGTTATGGCCTTTATTATTTCTGTTGATAGCATGCTCAGTGTAGGAATGAATATGGTTAAGAGTTTAACAAGTACTACTACTCTTACCAATACTGCTTATTGATCAGGTACTTTATTACACTGTATTGGAAATGATAATGAGCAGATGGAGAGTGTGGTCAGATTGACACATCTGTGATGCATAGAGTTAATGAGGGTGTCGATGCTGCTTGTGAAGTGTTTACCTGCTCTTTGTGAGGGGCTGGGAGAAGTTGGTAGACATTTAGAGGAACAGGATGTTGTTGTCAGTCACATCCATCCATAGCAGCATGGAGCAGATTATCTGGTGTACCACACTGTCTGCAACAATTTCTTTCACGACAAATGGTGAAGTTGTGGACATTGAAGTGTCTGACTACAGCCATCATCTTTCTGTTGCTATCTGTGGCATTGAGTCATTTGAAATAAGCTACACATTGGTGACCTTTGATACTCACCGGTCAAAGGAGTGCCTGTGTGCTGGTCACACTATCTGATCATTGTCTTCTAAAGCTTCACCTGATCGGGCCGTGCAGTAACTCAGTGGTTGAGAATCTGCCACAGGTTGAAAAGCTCAAAAACGTTCCATGCACAGTTGGCTTTTTCTATCCATAACGATTAAAAAAAAAGAGACACACACACCCACGTTGAGGAACAGAACATCAAGCTTTTAAAGACTGGGGTAGGCAGTATTCTTTTGCTTCATAGGGCAAAAATTCCTCACTAAACTTTCAGTATGTTGCAATTTGAGCACTCTTAAAGGAAAGCAGACTCTTGTATCTCCACTCACCAACATTTAAGGCTTTAGAAAATCTAGCCCATGGTGGGGGATTCTAGCCAATCACAGGGCTTCAAACAAGATCATGGTTTAACATAAATAGAAACAAAGCCCACAGTGGAAGCAGCATGTGGTGATGCAATGGGTTGGACACAGGAGTTTAACTCGGGAGGCAGGTGTTTGAAGCATGTGCTTGTCGATTGGGGTGAGCTGTGGGAACAGAGCTGTATAATTTCAAATTCTTTTGTTTTCCAGATTTCTGCTTTCTGCAGCTTTAAATGCTACCCAGAGTTGATGCAGAGTATCATGGTAATCTCCTTTTCAAATGTGTTTTGTTGATCTGAACCCAAGTTAGCAGCCGAGACACGCCTCCGTTCACACCTGTTTGTCTCCCAGGTGTCTTCATGACCAGTTGTGTTCAGACTTCGTTACTGATACGTCGCCTCCATTAGAAGGCCAAAGGGCCCAGTTGCTAAGTTATTACACAGGTCTGATGCCAGACAAGTGCTGAATTTGTTTCAGATGGGTTAGTTGAGAAAACTTAAAACTTCTACAGGCTATTCCAACTGTTGAGATTGGCAGAACAAAGTCATTAGTGACTTGCAAAAGAGCACAAAATAACATCCACCACATCCTGTATCGATGATGTATTTTCCTGTTACATCCTTGTTATCAGGACACTTTGTTGTGGTTTGAGTGATTGGTCCACAATGCATCTGGATGGGTGCTTGTGTTTAGTGCTGTCCACTTGATGCAGATGCACTTTAAAACCAAACGTAAACAGTATAGACTGTCTATGAGCCACTATAATAACATTGCACACAGGCATTTAATCCATTGTTGATATGAATATATTGACTAGTGCGGCTTTAAGCACCAACAAATCTGTCGATAATCTTTCACTGTCCTATATTTATTTGTCAATAAAAGCAAATAAAACCCATGCACTCATAGAGTAAATAAAAACAGGATATAATATATGAATATGTCATTGGCAACGTCAGAAAATGGAAATAAAACTAGAGGATTACACAGATCCTCAGTTTGATACTTACTTTCTACATAGGCTGTACAGTGACTTTGTCTAGCTCGTTGCAAAAATAACTTGAATACATAAAACAATATTACATATTAATACAAATTGGCTATGACATGATATGTGTATCTATATACATCTTGCATTATAAATGGATATGCAGGTCTACACATACATTAGTTTGTGGCTGGTTGTGTTTTATGTGAAGAATGAGGTAGACACCATAAAGTGTTAAGCACCTGTGAGTCTGAATTAGTAAACTTGGGTCGTATGCATTGTATCATAACCATGAAAAAGCTCCATTATGTTTTGATTTTTTTAATTCTATGAATGTCGAATATATAAATGGAAAATTACTCTTACATTTTGTATTCTAGCTTAAAATATTTGCAATATTTGTCTCAACTTTCAGACATCACAAGCTTCAAAGTTCTCCCAAAAAGTCTTTGCAGTTCTCAATTTAAGTCCTCTGTTATTCCATTTAGGTTATAGGTTCAATATTTGCTGAATATTTCCAAAATATTTGGTTTGAACATTTCAAGCCCTGATTTGAACATGTTTTTATAAAACATATCGTTCTGAAAGGGACAATCCACTCTGCTGAGTAGCCCTTTTTTAAAAGTCTTATTGTTTGGCCTTCTTGCTCTCTTTTTCCTTTTTTTTCTGCTTTTTCTCTTTCTCCTTCTCCTCCTTCTTCTCCTTCTTCTTTTTTTCCTCTCTTATCTCCTTGTACTTCCACTTTGGTGGTTCCAGGAAGCCCCTGTCCTTCTTCTTCTTCTTTTCTTTCTTTGGCGTTGCTTCTGAAGGCCTGCTGATGTCGATCTTGGGGATACAGCCGGAGGGGAACACACTGTTCCGTCTCGCCATGCTGCGGGGAATAAATGTCGCAGCAACCTTGGTGGAGGCTAAGGAGAGGATGCTGCCTCGTCGATCAGTGTCGGCACAGCATGTTGTAGCAATGGACTCTGCGGAGTGGATTGTGGGCATGATGTGCGACACTGAGCCGTTGCTGTGGCACACTGAGCTTTCTTCTAGGTCCTTATGTGAGTGTTTCTTCACCAGCTCTGGAACAGCCAGCCGCCTCTTCCCTATCTCTGGAGGGCTCGTAGGGCAGAGTGGGTGGCATCCAGTGGAAATCAGAGGACTGTGGACACTGGTGGTGATGCGCACCATGTGGTCCAAGACCCCATTGTCCTGGGGGTCCCGAGGAAGTCTGAATCCAAAGGTGTTTTTGAGCCGCTGGGTGATTTTTTCTGTGGGTGTCTTCTGAGCTGTGGCCTTGGCTACTCTCTCCTGGAGCTCTGGCCATTCAGGGACATAGCTCTCACAGAACTGCTCAGCTTTTGGGCGCAAGTTAAGGCGGCGGAGACGGTGCAGAGTCTCGTAGCGACCTGTTTTGAGGGCCCAGTCCCGAGCACATTTTCCTTTCGTGGAGTCGACTGCATGTATGTCAGCCCCTGGACAAAAACAGCAGAAAACCCAGCAGAGATGGGGTTGATTTCAATTCAAAAAGGAATGATGCATTCAGTTCCTCTTTTTTTTTTTTTTTTTAAGCAAAAGGTCTCTGGCCTTTTCCTGGCTAGCAGGAAAAGTGCCATTAATAGCATTGTAGTAGTATAGTATAGTATGGTATATTTTTCTTATTTCTTTTTTTATTGTATTGGGGTGGTGGTCACTTTACTATTTCTGTTTACTACTGTAACAGAATTTCAATTTGGGATTAAAAAAAGTATATCTATTCTATTCTATTCTATTCTATTCTATTCTATTCTATTCTATTCTATTCTATTCTATTCTAACTAAACCCCTAAAAGCAGTAAATCTAAATTGAATAAACCCAATTTTAATGGTTAATTACACATATATGTTGTATGATATAGAATGTTAAAATATCTGCCACAAAAACAGCCAAATACCGACCGAAACAAAACATTGGCAACACACTGCACAGTCACCAGATAAGCTTTTTCTTTAAGCTCAGGTGTGTCTAATAACATTAACTCTGTTCTGCTCACGTGTCCCACTCAGTGATGACGGTGTAACAGTGAGCCAGTTTGCAGAGAGCCAGAACGCTGAAGCCAAAGCAGCTTTGTGGAATTCAGTCCACATTAATGTTATTATCTCCACCTGTGGTTTTCCTGCTCTGACATGTCACAGTGTCTCCTGTGAACGAGGCCTGCTGACTGTTTTGGTGAAATGGTTGCAATTAGGGTTGCACACTAAACCATTTTAAACAGTATCTTAAGTTTAATTTAGTAATCAGCATTGTATTCCGTCTAAACACTATATTATTAAACTGAGAATAGCAACCGGTGATATCAAGTTCAGCTTCACTGAATGGTTTGCCTGTTGCACTGACAAGAGCAAATGTGACAGTTTACTGAGATATGCAATATTAAACTATGACTAGCAGAGATTTTCGGAAATGTGCAGTCTAAAAATAAAAACAAGAAGATAATCTACAACCAGCAAGACTGTCAGAGATTATTGGAGTGTCTGTTAAGATGTGATAATGGCCTCAGAATGATCTCTTAAACCGGTCTCGCGTCACCGGCACATTCACTCACGAACAGAGTTAGCGGGCTTCAAATATGGACAGATAAACCTCGGGGTTAGCTATTCTCACCACCAGTGCTGTAACTCTTCATTAGGGGCACTAAGAGTCCCCGTTAATGAGCTAACGTTAGAGTGTCAAAAAATATCTAATAATATCAGAGTACAGCAGCTCCTGTATGTACAACTCTGTTTAAAGCTGCTTTGATGGGGCTTCACTATGCTTTGAAACGTGACAGAACAGATGTACCAATAGTGGTCGGAGCAATACAAACACATAGCACCTTAGATCTGACACATTTTGTATGTGCTGTCATGCATCTTGTTATTCGTTAAAATATTTGAGAGGAGACTGAGTAGTTAAAGTTTGAAACTGACAAATCTATACTTGTTTCTCTTTGATTTTTCCAAAGATTGCTTAAAAATGATATGATGTCAGCAAGGTTAAAACAAAACAACAGTATTTTCAAAGAAACTGATCAAAATTAATGACAAACCAAAGTATTTTTTTCAATACACTAAGTACCATCATGGAAAGTGGATGTCCCATATTCTATTTGATAATCATTACCTGCAATATGTATAGAAAATAATAATGAATCAGTAAATTCTGCACAAACTTCCTAGCTGTACCATACTCTTACGTACCAGCCATAACAAGAGTCGCCACAACGTCATTGCGGCCAGTCATGGCCGCTTTGATGAGGGCTGTAAAACCTCGACAATCCTTTACTTCAGTGTCTATACCAGGATAGTAGTTTAGGAGATACATGACTGTGCTGATATGACCTGTAGTGAAAACAAAGAACACAGAGATCACATCAAAAGTGTTTCTGAAAATCCCAGTTCATTTAACCCATGCAGATGTTGGTTTGGAGCTGGTTGAATCTTAAAGGCATTACAGTTTCCCTGTTTTTAGTATGTATGTCATGTATGTCTACCACATCGTTGCTTGTGCAGCTCCATTATTGATAAGGACTGGTTTATCTGCATATTTTGCAAGCTCAAGGGAACTTGTCTGCCAAACTTACCTGCTTGAGATGCAATCATCAGTGCGGTGTTGCCTTCTTTATCCTGGTGGTTTATGTCGATAAAGGGACAGTTGTGAAGCCCGTATACAATCTCCAAGAAACCTTTGCAGCAAGCCACCATCAAGCCATTCTGTTGGTAACAGTCAACAATAAAGATCAGTGATTTTTCATGTAATAGATCACAGCAGAATGACTCTCAACAGAATGAGACTCTCACCCAGCCATTGATGTCCAGCTCCATCACCTCCTCCTTTGTGACTCCTCTTTCCAGAACTTTCTGCAGAGAGACGGGTTCATTCCGGGCACAAGTTTGATACAGCGTCGACGCTGCACCGCCGTTTGTCGTCTGCAGTGTGTAGTCTGGAAGCACGGAGTCATCGGAGAGGATGCTGTCTGAGTCGGACTCGTTCCCTGATGGAGACGCGTCGTCTTCATCAGGGCCTGAGCCCAGGTGGGGGTCCTCCACTGCAGTGGCCATCTTCCAACAAAACAGGTAAAATGGGAACGTATCCTTTTGGTTACATCTACGAGAATATCAAAAATAGAAACTGGTCAGGCCACTACTGGACGTTGTCTATAGCAACAAAGGTGCAATCAGGTGCACTCTCGAGACGGAAACTCAGAGAAGAGGATTTTTTTCCCCCTTGGAAAGAAAATAATTACACATAATGCTGAGCTAAAACCGTCTCCTCACCGTAGGCATAGAATTGTGGGTGAATCACAATGTTCTGTATATCAGGATTCAGATCTGCCACGGTGAAAAATCAAAAGTTTGCTTGTTGACAGATAACAGAGTGACATGAGGCTGTCAGTCGGGGATTCTGAGTGCTGTATCTGTGTGGTGTTATAAGCTCAGTGTACCTTTACTGTTGAGTAAGTGGATCAGCATCTAAATGCCCTGCTGAACGTACAGCGTTGCTAAATGAGGAACAACCCACCTCGGAATAACCTCAGTCACATGCAGCCCTACTCAACTCATGTTTTGGCTCTTTTGCTGCTTTTTGAAGCCAACATTCCTGGCCGTTGAAACTAATGACTACTGCTTTCTTTTTTAAAAACCTGCAGTGTAGTGTGCACCTCACACACTTTAAGCAAAAGTTCAAGCAGAAGTGGTTCTGACACTAAAGTCAAAACAGTGATTTAGAAATATTTCACATCTATTAAGAGACTCGCTGATGGAAATTTTCGTGGCACAATCATGACCTTTTACTGTGTTGTACAAAAAAAATTTAAAATTAAAAATCTTCTTTGAGTGCAGACATTTCAAATCTTTTAAGTGAATCCAAAGTAAAGAAATTAAAACTCTGAGGCACAACTGCAACATCCACCAACCTCCATTATAATATAATCTACTATCACTACCAGCAAACTAACTGGTAACCAAAGCACATCAACATATACATATGCCACACACTTACCATAAAGGTTAATCAGTCCGCTGTAAGCGTAGCTATATCCATATATGACTCCTCTACAACTTCTTCTTAATGACTTCTGACTTCCTCGAGCACTCCCACTGTGTTTTCAGAGCAGCTGAGAAGTTCCTCCCGGGCCTGTAAATAGAGGTACTTTACCCATTTCCATCCCACATATTGTCGTGATGACATAAAACTGAGAGGAGGAGTCTTCGCCGAGTCTTCACATAGACACTGTGGGTTCATCTACTATGCTTAGCTCATCCCATTTGCAACAGCTTTATGGAGAGGATTACCTACCGCTCTGGTCATTTTCATCTTTCTACAGAGGACCAGTGGTAAACTCCAGGCAACTTACACCTATTTTTCACTGGCTAAACTAAAGAGAGTTTCTTAAAGTTCCTTGCAATGTGCCACTTCTTGTTTTTGCCTTGTCTGACCTCCAATACAATGACACAATCACATGTAAAAAACGTGGAAGCAAAAGCGCAGTGAAAGACAAACAATCGCAGTTCAACAACCACCAAATATGATGAAATAAGCTTTTATGCAGAAGTCTGTGAATAATACACAAGAGACACGCACAGTATCTTGTCTTCCAACCACAAATAAGTCATTAATCCAATTGTAAATGTCTAAAATGTCAACTTTAAAGCTGCTTCAGTCGGAGGAATCTAATTAATTCTAGAGACTGACTTGTAGACGACTAAATCCCATCAGATGTGACCAATGTGCTCTGAACAGATGGGACAGATTCCAAGGAGGTGAAACAGCAACAAAACTCATTTCACAGAGAAGCTGTTGCGGCTGGTGGTATTTCTCAGATTCACCACAGGATGGGGATCTCTCACACTGTTCACACGCTCTGTTGTCAGATTTCGATCTTTATAATTTGGTCATTACAAAGTCAAATTGAGGACCGCTTCTATCATATAAACTGCATTGACATGATTTAAATCTGAAATGTCACTGTGAGGCCTCCAGAGGTAGTTGTTTGCATCGCAGAACTTATTTGAGAGAAGAAACTGGTGTAAAAGTTGTAATTTGAGCGCCACAATGAGGATATAAAATAAGGATTAAAATTAAAAGCATATAGGTGATACAACTTAAGCAAAACATGAGAGCATGTAAAGTTTTTCAGGAGTTATTTTGAGTTAACTGCTGCTGTAGGAATGGTCACAGACTGAATTTAGCCTAAGGGATCTGTAAGACGTGGCTGGACCTGTCTGGATGGATTGACCCCTCTTATCCTGAAGGGCCTGAGGAGGGATCCCACTGCAATTGACCAGCTGTCCTCATCTGCCCAGAGGAGAAAAAGACCTGGTGCATAGCATAGATTCCCTGCTTTTGTCTTTTCATCGGACGTCAGGCAGGACGGTGCAGATGTCTGTCTGGTGCCACTTTAACTCCTTTTTTTTTGACTTTGATAAAATAAGAAGCAAAACATTAAGATTGTTTGCTTAAATGGGGGGAGAAAAGAATAGGACGTTAAAGTGAAGGAAAAGAGAGAGGAGAACAAGCTCAAGTGGAACCTGGAAATCACAGGATGCAAAAATGAAGACTTTGGCAAAAGTTCAAGGGAGGACTGAAGAACTTCTGGGATACAGGGTTGATAAAGTGAGTGCCTGCGCTCTATGACACCAACATTGTTCGAGTAGGGTGAAGGAAATTACAAACTTTAAAGCTAGACGTCTTGCTGTTCTTGATTTTCATATGAGTACATAACTGCTGAATGAGATGCAAACTGAACAGTGTAAAACAAGAGCACACCTGAAAGTAAGAATATTACGTGCTTCTCTGTTTAGTTGTGTCAATTATCTTTAACTAGTTGTCAAATTTTTACTTCTCTGCAGTGTCAAATATGTACATTTTTTTATTAAAAGAGTCACAGTAACATAATTATATCTAACATCAGCTTCAAACTTGAATAAATGATTTGTTCATCTGAATATAAACACCAAAATCTTGCTTGCTGAGTCTAATCCGAGCATTATCTTTGTACTTGTTTAAAATGGGGTACATTCTAGGTTGATCTTAGTTTAAATAATAATAGACTGTGTATTCTGGGAAACAAAACTCTGATTCCTGCTTATTAAGGCAATGTCCTAACAAGAAGTTGTTGCTGTTTCTATGGCAGTACTTCTAATTTTGTCAATTCACACACAGACCAGTGAGAAATTAAACAAACTGCACAACTCTCCTCCAATATATCATGTAATACACAGTATTTTATAGTTAGAAGTGATTCTTATGGACTTAACCTGGCTTATATTTTGGAATCACATTTCTTTGGACTTAGGATTTGATGTGAATCAGTAATGTCCTCTTGGAGAAAATTCCACAGATAAGATAAGAAACCACTTAAGCTGAAGCAAAAATAAGGAAGACAGAGTGGTAGAGAGAGAGAGAGAGAGAGAGAGAGAGAGAGAGAGAGAGAGAGAGAGA